GAGTGGGGGGCGGGCGAGGGGCAGGGTAGGGTGGGGTGGGTGCCGGCCGGCGGGGGCCGGGGCCGTAAGCGGTGTCCGGTGTGTGTCGTTGCAGTGCGGGCGGCGGGGTGCACATCCCGCCGCGGTACCGGCAGTTCCCGCAGCTGACGCAGAGGCAGGTGATCCAGGGCGAGATCCTCAGCGGCTTCATGTGGTTCTGGATCCTCTGGCATTTCTGGCACAGCTCGGACATGGTGCTGGTGAGGCCGGCGCGGCGGGCGAGGGGGATAGAGGGTGGGCCGGGGCCTAGTCCGAGCTCTGACCGCCCCTCTCCGCCAGGGCCACTTCCCCTACCCCGACCCTGCCGCCTGGACGGACGAGGAGCTGGGGATCCCTCCGGACGACGAGGAGTAGGCGCCTCCAGCCCTGGGTGCCGGCGCAGCGGCAGCACAGCGGTAGGCCCCTCCGCCCCTCCTGGCACCGGCCCGGGGGGCTGCAGCCGAGCTGGCTTGGCTTGGCTTCAAACAGCTCTAAACCCATCCGGCAGCAGCTCACACGCAGCCTGGAGCTTTCCTTAGCTCTGCTTCAAAGTTCCCTGCGGTCATACAGTGCCAGGGCATCCTTCCTGGCCCTGCTCGCTGGCCCTCTTCTCTGGGAATTGCCACAAGTACCCTCTTTCCAGACGTTATTTGTGCGCTTCCAGAGGTAGATGTGCCTTGTTTCTGTTGTACAGAATGCAAATATCTGCAACCTTTTCTTTTTATTGCCTTCACACACTCTGTTCTTGGGTACCCGAATACTTGAGTGCAGGCAGTCTACTTCTGGCAATATAAGTCTGCAGTGTAACAGTTTATTTTTTGATGAGTTGTAGCTTAAGTGCTACCAGTTCAAAATTATTTTCTTCGTGCTGCTCTGTAGACGCAGCATTACTTAACCTTAAGGGTACGCTCTCTCTGTACCTAGAGAGAGACCTGTGCAATCCACCCCTTAAAGGTTTGGGGCTTTCTGCTTGTTTCCAGTTCCTTTAAATGCCCTTTCTCTCTCAAGCTGCTGGGTCACGTTATGGGTCTGTAAAACTGACAGCTTCAACTACTGCTGAAGGCAGCACAGGAACTGTTGAGGAGGTCCTTCCCCTGCTGTCAGCAGTGGGAAGAGGATGGGTGAAAAAGTTCTCAGGATTCTCTTCTGTTACTTGCAGGTCCCTGGAACTAAAGAGGCCCCTGGAACCAAAGCTTTGGCTCCTCGGTCCTTATTTCAATAAAAGTTAACTGTAAACAACCTCTAAGGTGAATTGTACTTTTTTTGAGTGTTGTAGGATTTTCTTATTTCAATAAAAGTTAACTGTAAACAACAACCTCTAAGGTGAATTGTACTTTTATTTTTGAGTGTTTTAGGATTTCTGGAGAATGAACATTACAGCTTTAGAGGTGGGGTATTTGAGTCCACATGAGCTTCTGTAATGTTTGCTCAATATATAATGTGCTGCCCTTCGATAAAAAAAGCGATGTATTGATGTTCAAATGGGATTTAAAATTTCCATGAATGTGTAATGGGCAAGAATCCCATCGTTAAAGCTCTGCCAAATAACTGCTAAAGGAGGGGGGAGAATAAAACTTGTCCTTGTTAGAACTACAGAAAAGCTGTAACTTAAAGACATGTTACTGAAATCTTGTTGCCAAATAACAGTTGCCATAGAAGCAGGGGAAGTTACCCTGAAGAGAACACAGACCAACTGCTGCCAGACTTTCCCTGGGGTGAGGGGCATCTCCCCTGGATATTATCAAAGTCCAGAATAATCCCCGTGAAGTGAAGCCCTTTGCAGAGGTAAAAAATGCCTTAGTGCTAAGCACAGCTGTCAAGTCCAACAAAAGGAAAATGAAGGGAGCAGGGTTATGCTCCAGGCATCCCTCAGTTGTTTATTTTTCTGTTGGTTTGTTTGGTTTATTTTCCTTCTAGTTACATTCTAAAGCAACATCATCAAAGTAAATTTTTTGCTCTCCTTAAACCACCTTAAGTTGTACCTCTGGAACTTCATGGAGAGGAAGAGCTGTGAATTACACAATAAACAATCACCTTCAGACTTTTCCATGCAGTCAATCTTTATTATAGCAGTATTCTCATATTCACATCAAGTACATAGAACTTTTTGCCTTTTATATAATACAGAGTTCTTTAAATAACTTTACACAGAAATAGTTTTCTTCAATCTGAATTCAGCTATCAAATTTTAATATGTTTTAAGTCTCCATGCTCTCTAACCAAACTGGACAATATTTCCCATTGTACAAATTTACATGAGAAAAAACTCCAAAGTACAAATGAAGGGACAACAAAAGTAAAGGGGGAAGGAACAAACGAGAAAAAATAAGTTGTATTGGCAATTACAGGGGAAACTTGCAAAGGAAAGAAGGGGAGTTGCCACGACCTATGTAACAGGAAACCGAAAATAAACGTTTTGTTATGAGTTAAAAAATAAATACAAGTTTCAAAACAATTACTCCATTGTAGATTTTAAAAAGCAGCTATGGAAATCTACTAACACAATTGTTTTTGTTTTTTATTTTTTTAAGTAACCAGACTGGACCTTCTACTTTGCAGTCATAAGCCCCTCGCAAACCTCTGGTGGTCGAAAAAAAAATAATAAAATAATCAGAGCTGAAAGGAATGTTGTGTTAGCACAGAGTTTAAATTGGTGGGACATACATTTCATTGCACTAAGGAACAAACAAACGAACAAAAAGAAATCAAATCTGTATATAAATTTCCCTTTCCTCTCCTTACTAGATACTTTGCCTCTCATAAACAAGCCTCTGTATTATGAGGTAATGCCATTGTCTTGACTATATATAAAAATAATCAAGTTTAAAGGATATAGATCCGCGTATCTATAAACTTTAAACAAGCCAGTCCTCTCTTACTCCCCCGTGGGGTCCAACTACCGGGTGCAACCCCCTTCCATCACTCTTTAATGAAACGTATGCGTTGTGCCTCTGGTGGAAACCGGCCCCCGAGAGACCGGTGCCTTTCCTAATCCAGTCTAGGAAAAGCAGCCTGCGCTCCAGTAAGAAAGGGACAGTGCAAGTATCGCACGGCAGATCACACACGTGTTCCTGCTCCTTCGAAACAAGGCAGCGTCACAGAAGGCAACAGTGGCCAGCCTGCATGTGTCTTTCAGCAAAGGGGAAAAGGGATCCAATTAGGCAGCTGATGATGGATTTGTGGTTGCTTAAGAAAAAACATCACCTGAAACGAGGTGGGGAGGGAAGTTACAACCTCGGGAGGACGAAGGGCCAGGAGGAGCCCTGCGCTCGCCCTCGGGGTGACCGCAGCGACAGACCCGGCTCCAGCGGCACAGGTCAGCACTGGATCCCCAAGGGATTCCATGGGTGGCAAGAACCAAGAGGGCAGGACTTTCCCCAATCCCAACACACGAGACGGGAAGAAAAGCAACGTTAATTTGGGTTGCCAACACATGCAAGTTGGCCACTGTCAGGTTTCTGTCAGTTGAGGAGAAGTGTGGAGAGGGGGGAGGGAAGGGGAGGCAGGTAGGACACAAGGCTCGTGAAGGAATGATGTGCATTTTTTTTTTTTTTTGCGTGAAGGAATGATGTGCATTTTTTTTTTTTGTTGATTTTTTTTTGTGGTTTTTTTTTTTTTTCTTTCCTAAAGGTTCACAGCTTTGAATTAAAAAAAAAAAAAAGCACATTTATTGCACTTACATTTTATTTTAGACAGAGTTAATTTAAATTATGCCCTCGGAACCCCCCACCATCCCAAAATAACCCTACACCCAAGTTTGGTCCATTTTGCCCGCTAGACCCAACATCCATGCCCAGAAGGTGGGCTTCATTTCTCCTCCTAACCTTCCACTGAACTCCCAAACACACAGATTTTCTTTTCAACTAAGGTGAATACACAAATGCAACACAGAATGACATTTATCAAAACAAAACCCCAACCAGTTTCCAAACCCAAACAAAAAAGAAAAGAAAATATAGGGGGTTTTTTGTGTTTTACTCAAAAGTGAACATCACACAAGGCTTATTCTAAAGCAGAGCTGCTGCAAACGTGACAAACCAGGCAAAATGACCGGAGGGGCCACTGTTGGCTCTTAAGGAGACTGGACGAGCTGAACACGCTGCTGCTGTGATGGGATGAAGCCAATTCCTACGTGGTTTAGAAGTTTCTAAACACCCTTCATCAGCTCCCTTCTCTTAGGGGAATAGTTTCTTTGCAATTTTCTTTAAAAACAGACAAAATGCCACCTTCTCACATGTACTTTCAGTGCAGAATTTGGGGTAGGTAGAAGGATTCCAGATAGTTCCTGGAACATTTGTGAAAGGCTTTTTCTTTTACACTTTGCTTTCTAAAAGGAACAAAACCAAATGAAAATTGGTCTGATATTTTGTATGAACCGTACATTTAGACATAACTTTATAATTTACAATTATGCTCAAAAGTCTTGCCCCAAAGAAGAAAAGGAAAAGATCTGAAAAAGCACTAATTCTGAAACCCATTATTTTGTCCTTTATGGACAAGGAGGTTAAATATGACACTGGTCCGTAGGTACTGCCAGAAGTCTACGTAACTGGTTTGAAATTTGAACAACTCAACTTCAAACACGCTGGTTGTCCCTCAGCTGGCAGGACACCTACCATCTCCCATGGTTCACGTGCAGTGACAGTGTGTGACCCCTGAAAAGTAACTGCAGTGTTGGGGAAACTGCAAGAGCCTGAGGAAGAACTAAGGAAACCTGCTGATATTTCAGAAAACAAAATTAATTGCGCTTTCTGGGCCAGGGAATTAATTGTATGCTCTGATAGATGTGGACTTCGATTACATGAGTACGAGCCATCAATTTCTCCTCATCCAGCTCTCATTTTTCATCTACTGTCTCATTCCAAGATGCCGTGACAGTGTAACTTTGGGCCTCTTTGGAGCTTTCTATTACTTTTCTTTAACAAGATCTTCGTGTCTTTGGAGGGGGAAGAGGGCTTATTTATTTTTAAATTAAATGAACCTCATTTAACTTGTGACAGAGCAGATTTGAAGCAGCAGGTTTACCGCCACTGAATTGGGTATCCTTCAATTCCTAGCTTTGAAATGATGGTAGGTATTTCGGGGAATGCTCTCTGCCCTCCTTTGCAGAAGTTTACCAGCTCCACACTACCTATTCTAGAGTAATAGCTATATACAAAACTACTGCATCAGAAGTAAACCAAAGCCACTGCTCCAGTTACAAAGCACCTGGTTTACATTCTGTTGTACTTTTTAAGGTTGCGAAGGCACATGATCATTTGGCAAACTGCAAAGACTGTTTAGGGGGATGCCTATGTAACCCATTTAAGAGAGGGTCTCTTTTCTAAGAGACTTCTCTTAAGAGAGCTCTCTTTTCTACAGAAAAGATATATGCAAGTTTTCACTGGAATTCACCCTTGGTGCACTCTATATTCTGCAGTTTTTAAACAGTTTCCTCCTCCCACAGCTTCATGATTATTTACCGCTGTGTCATGGTGCTGACTTAGTAGCTTCTGTGTCAGCATCCTTCAACTTAAATGCAAAGAAAAAGTTGTAACAACTTTTATCTCTGCTCTGCTCTCTTGATGGTTTTATTTACTAGGTAAGAAGTAACGCAGCGAGGAAGAAAGATATTTAAAATGCATGCCAAAACAAACGCGAAGTGCAAACGCGTATTAAGGAGGCTGCAGTAAACAGAAGTTCGTTTCCTAAAGTTCTACGTCAAATGCATGACAGAAAACCAGAACTCCCAGCACCTCCCAGTGACGCCGTAACAGTCCACTCGACTGTACCTAGAAGCTTTGTCTGCTACTGGTGATACTTTTCCCAACAGACAGAAGACGGGGTTGTCTACAGTACTATGAATAGTTAGTGCTACACATGCTGCACTCACAGTCCAGAAGGGAATGAAATCTATAGGCTGCGAAAGCGTGAAATGTCTACATGCTTCTTCCCTAAATTTAGCCCCTCCACCTACCAAAACTTCAACTTGTACTTCTTTGTGAGCTTTCTGGGGGTCTGGCTTCCCCAAACGTTCTGTAAAATGCTGGATGCATTTACATCACCAGACAAACAGAGAAGCAAACCTATTTATGCGTGATCTTCAGCGTATTTTTTTCCCCCCAATTTGGGCATTTGTGGAAAGACGTGATACTTATCAGTCAGCATTTTGTTCTTTTTATGTCACGAAGGCCAAATTCTGCCTCTAATGAGCACATACTAATCGCAGTGATGTTGAGAGGCCACAGTAAGATGGCAGTATTTGGCCTCAAACATTCTGTATCATCATTAGCTGCTAGAGCATTCAAGTACGAGAAAAGATGATTTTAGATAAGCATAAAAAAATAGAAATGGATTCATTTAATGACCTGCATGAGTTTTAGCAAAAAAAATAAACGATTGGGTAATTGTATCTGGGGCCATGTAGGACTTAATTCACGCAGAAATTACTTTCAAAATAACCAGGTCTCTCTGCTCATACCATTTGGTTTAAGCTCCACTACAATGTTCCAAGTTCCAGCAAATACGCTGTGGGAAGCAATCACGTCCTGACAGGGAAGATGTAACAGGTAACAGGGTCTTGTCTAACTGTATGGAACAGGAAAGACAGAGGGGAAGGTGTATGTGTGGTTAATAAAGACATTGGATAGTTGGGACTGGATACTGGTGGTTGTGAAAATAAAAAATAGTAGATGCTAGACACTGCAGAGCTAAAAGCAGTAAGACTCTCTGGATGTTTGCCCCAACACACACACATAACATACGTACTAACATTTCCATTGTAGCTGGGACATCACAGAGAAAAAGCCTAAGAAATTTGGTGTAACGGACATGAATGTTAACGGTGATTTGAGTTCACTTCCTTCATCCCACTGCTATACAGGATACTCAGTTCTGGACTACTCTTACCTCCCCCATTCACTAAACATCTACAGGGCACCTTGAAGACTGATTCTGATGGCATGCAAGACATCCAGAAAATCTGAAGATATTTAAAAAAAAAAAATAAACCCAATTATTTACAAACCAAATTTCTTCCAAAGTTTTGCATGAGTATTATCTGCGACCTCTTAAAGACAAACACACATCACTACAGCTATCTGGAGGGAAACAAACAAATGTGAAAACCAGTAGAAATGCATCCTGAAAGGACTTCTCTAAACAGCAGCCAAACAACTTGCACATTCCTCAGGGAAAAAAAAAAAACCAAAACAAAACAGAAAAACAAAACTACATATAAACCAACCCCAATAAAAAAAAAAACAACAAAACACCCCAAAGATCACATGTTACTTATAAAGTGCTTTGCATGGACAAGGATAGTAATTTTCCTTGTGCTTTTCCTATGGGCTCAAGAAGCATATTGTAGACTAATGGGTAATGAATCTTCACAAAAGTAAGTTCATTTTAAGCAAAGATAGAATGAAATTCCTAACAGTTACATTTTAGCAGACAATCTTCTGCCAGCATGACCTTGTGGAAGGAAACTCGGGCTTTTTAACAAGCTCTGTGAAACAAATGACTGTTGAACCACCTCTCCATACTTGCTCCAATAATGGTTTCTTTCGAGAGAATATGAATTTCCAGTATGCCCGACATGTCCAAATTCAGCCACAGCCCACACAAGGTCCAGAGGGACTTGAGGGTGGAAGGAGAATGAGCAGTGACCACTTCACCCACCCTCTGGGAGTCTGTATCTGTAAATGGTCTCACCTGCCCGCTGGCCCCAGTCTCCTTCCACCTCTCGGGGACTGGCCTCAGATGATGGTCACCGTCCGGCGCTGCATCAGCCGGGAGGCTCTGATTTCACCGGTCTGCGCGCCACCGCTCGCTCCTTAGCTTCTCCACACTGGAAAGTGGCTATTGCTACTATTTTAACATTCCTGCCAATCTTAATAAGGAAAAAAAAACCTTACAGCATCTGAAGACCCACAGCAGACAAGAAAAAAATTTGTGCTTTCTTTTTTTTTTTTTGTTGTTTTTAAAATGCATCCTGTACACAGAATTGATTCTATTCATGTACCAACATGAATCACTTCATTCTTGTAGTGACTATTAAGTCATTCGCTATTGCTGTCTTGCTAATGTTTGCGGAATTAATATGAATACACAGTATTTCAGTTATAATTCCCACTTCAGATTAGTCCGGTCCCTATAACCCCAGTAAATATTTACTGACACACATAACAGACTACCAGCAACACCGCAGAACTCCAGGGTTTCAAAAGCACGTTCCACCACCGATGTGCGTCTCTCCCTTCACCTGGGAGCAACCTTCTGCAGACAGAAACAGTTCGACTCTCCTAGAGAGGGAAGGACAGTGTCCTCACCCAAGACACCCATGTTTAGCACGGACACCACATTCACACACATTTAACTCCTTCATTTATTTGTCATGGTTTAACAGCCCCCCCCCTCCCCCCCAACCTCCCACCCTCCAGCAAGAACCTCCCTGCTCCAGAGGGGTCAGTTCTCCTGCCTCACCCGGAGTGGCACAGGGCAGATACGGATCAAATTCTAAAAAAATTCTTTCTGAGCTCGAATCTCTTTCTAATGTGGTCTGACTTGCCTCTGTACAAATAATTTACATGTAATACCACATACCAGAGAACTCTGCAAACAGATCACATCACAAGATATTCTACTAGAGGTAAACAATGTGCAGAACTTTACGAGTTGTTTTGTCCCTGACTGGGTTAACTTGTCAAAAAGCTACCCACCATTTGAAAACCAGGATGGGAGGACAGGAAAACAAAGCACTCTAATGGAGATACCGCCACCCTTCATCCTAGTTTGCAAAGTGTACAAAAAGGGAAAGATAAATGGGAGGGAAGAGATGAGAGGGAAGAAAGCAATGAGAGGAGAAGTAGTCAGCGTGGATCCAGCAAGTACCGTTTTGTTTTCATCTAACAACTTGCCGCTAGGACAAGATGCTCCACATTTACACACACACTCATCAGAGGACGTTCAGTTAACAGGATAAAAATCCTTTAAAAAAAAGCTCTTGAAAGTACCAAAACATCATTTTTGGAATGTCTAATTCTAGGGGGGTTTTGTATTTGTATTCAATTCAACCTGAGAACTTTTTTCCTCATTTATGAAAACATTACATATTGGTAAGGTACCTGGCATTAACCTGCACCCTCGTTTAAAATAAAACTTTTAAAGTAGGTACATACACCATTCACAGTCTGCGTCAGGAATTCTACAGACTTCAGATGCTGTGGTAGCATCTTTGATAAATACATTGTATCAGATGATACAAAAGAAAAAAAATAAAAGAGAGGACAATCTCGCTACATTTTTTTTTAAACTTCAGTTTGTTGCTGGACCAACAAAAGAAGGATCTACCTAATCCTTCTAAAAGATGTTGTATATGCACACACCAAGAAAATACGGGAAAAGGAAAAGGTTAAGGTTGTTGGTTGTTTTTTGAAGAAGTGATAAAGTAAATCTGAAAAAAGGTGCAGCAGCATCCCCTTTTCCTTCAGCTTCACCTCTTTGCCTTTAGAGTAACATCTTCTTCAGCTCCCATCACCCCATACTTTGAATTTTTCTGGAATAAAACCCAATAATAGAGACAAATTTAGGTGTTTGACGTTGTAATAGAGTGAAAAGGGGATACTGCATTGTCCATAAATCAGTGAGTACACCAGGAAAAAAACCAAACCCAAAAGGTCAGAACGGAGGACGATTCTTTTAAATTAGCACCCATCAGAGGTTCAGCCTCTGATGGCACGTTGTTAGAAGGAGAAAGCCCACCGGCAGACCATCCAAAGCAAGTCTCCTAAGTTGCAGCAGCAGTTCCATCCCCTCATGCCCGAGCACCACAGTCAAACCACGAGTGCCCTCTCCTCTCTCCTGGGAATGATGCCAACGGCACAGGCAGCCACTGCGGGTCTCCGAATGCACGTGGTGTGGTTTGTGTTGAAGGAGAAACACTGGCAGCAGAGGATTCTGGTTCCCAAAAAAAGGTACTTTTTCCCATTTGTGTTGGACTGGCAGTTCCGTTCTGCTCCACTTTTAAGCTTATGGATATCTTTTTTCTAAATTACTTTAGGTTTTGCAGAGCAGAACAGAGTTTTGATGTTAAGAAACTGTAGGAACACAAGACTTAAATAACAGAGTGGGTGCTGCCATGGTGCTGTGGCTACTTGAACGCTGCAAATTCTCCTGTAGAGGGAGGACAAGAGCTTGGTTTAAATAGGTGATTTCAGTTACTAGGTGGTCAGAGATTTTCTTCAGACTAGTCAAACATTAGGTTGAATATAAAAGATGTTAAAAAATGCAAACTGTTAAAATTAAAGCACAAAAGAACGCACAGTGTAAGAACATTGAATACAGACCCAGCGTGTTTTACCGAAAAAGAATTTCTTGAAAGCAAGCTGTACCCATTCTTCCCAAGACAGAGGTATGAAAGTTCAAGCAAAGTTTAATTCATCATGCATTTGAAAATAAAACGTGTCAGTTTAATTTCACTTTTAACGCCTTATTGCACATATATCCTCCTGAGAAGCAACAATTGCAAAAAATGCATCAGATTGCAAACTAATTTCTATTCTGGTGTAAAACTGGTTTAATAACAAAGAACTATTTGACACACCCGTTAAGCTTAAAGACTACATACTTTAAGTAAAGTGCCTGAATATTGAACCAGTATTAAAGAATGCCAGAATCTGGTTTAGAGACCAACATAGCCACCTACTGTGAGAAAAATAATAATGGTGAGATTGTCTACTTACTCCCAGACCAGAAATTAGTCCTCACTGATAGGGAGCACAACAAATAAAGCAACCCCATGCTTCCTTTGGAATGACTGAATAAACAACAATCCTATGTAATGATCTCCTGAAATTCTACCTAGCTTATTTAGTGTCATCATATTGGAAATAATATTGGAAAAAAACCAGAAATATCCCTGCAAAGAGAATTTTAGTCTGATGGCATTAATTCCATGGAGTGTCTTGCTCTATAAAGAAGAGAACCAAGGAGAGTGATCACCAGTCTCCATTGGAAGGGGGAAGAAAAGGCACCTTCAGGACGTGGTAGGAATAGCTGATCCAACTGATCTAAGGGAACATAAAGAAAGCAGGGAGAAGGCTCTGTGTGTCGTAGGAAAGGAGAAGGAAGCACACCTGAGGTCTAAAGTAAGGGTGGCTGGCACAGGGCACTGTGACAGACCCTCAAGCTCTATGTGTCTTCATAGGCTGTGGTGGTAGGTTTAAGTTATAACAACAAAGGAATAAAAACTTTACAATGGATCTAATTGCCTATTTTGCTAGTTCTACCAACAGAGAAAACACTTGCTCCAAAACACTCTAAATATTTGGTAATTATTCTTGCTTCTCTCTGGCACATTTCACCAATTTCCCAACTCTCTTCACAGTAACTTCTAGAAACACCTCAATTTTTGTACTTTTTTTTTTCTTTTAAGAGAAGGACAAAAAAGTCATCAAGTATTGCCTGCGAGGCTAATTTTTAAGAATGACATTCATGCTTAGCTACACTTTCAAAACATGCTCTACTTAATTTATTTCTCAGTCTGCTTTCCTAAACTGCTGATTAAAGATCAATTTATAAACAAGAGATTGCTCCCTCATTACTCATCTTGTCTTTCTGCCCATTTCTGGTAATAATTCAGCTTTTAATAGTCGTTCAGGGATTTTGGAAGATAAAAGATGAACCATTAATTGGGAAAGGGCAATGGAAAAACAGGATCAGAAGCTAAGAAGCATTTCAGATAGAATGGCAGCTATAAAAAGGTGATTTTTCAGACTTTTCTGCCATTTAAATAAAACCTTAGCAAAGACATTTTCTTTGACAAGCTAATGCTAAATCTCCCCTTTCAAAATTCAGGTGCTAATCTGATCTGAAATCAACGAGAGACCAAAATAGCTGACATGTTCATCTAATAACAGGATTATGTTGATTGAACACGTATAAAATGCGGTTACCAGTAACAGCTTTCCCTATATGAGGAACGTAGAGGACTACATCTATCCACACACAGGAGTCCTCCATCCTGCCAGGTGTTGATCAGAGGTGTAGCTAAAAAGCTTTCTGTCACCCTTTCTTCTGAAGATGCAAAATATCTGTACCTGGTTCTTTTGTCTTCTGAAAGAACCCCCATCAGTAGGGGAGGGAGAGAGAACACTGGCAACCTCTTCCTGAGGCTTAGATGCAGAAAGATAAATGAAGTAACCTGAAATGCAAATTCACTGTTTTCTAGCAAGACAAGAAGGTCTTGCCTGAGAGCAATGAATGGACAAAATGAAGATAGCTTTAGGAATTAGCTATGAACAGGATCATCCTGATTCTGCCCTGCTAAGTCTTTGGATGCCATTCTGTAACAGCCAATGCTCATCTAAACTGGGACTATTGCTGTCCCACTCTCCCTCCTGACCGAAGCTGTAGAGCAGTGACCTACCTGTTGTGTCACACCAACACTATCTGGCCCTGTGGCAAGACAGCTCAAGGACCTGACCTAGCAAATCCTAGCTCAGGCTGGTGGGCAAGGAGAGATTTCTAACCAGGTTTTGGAGATGCTTTGTCAGTAGCAGGAGGAACCCACCCAACTGCTTGGAACAGACTTGTGAAATTGGAGAGCACCTGCCAGTGCCAGGGTAAGGAGATGGGCCACGGCTGCTCCAAATGAGATCATCTTACCACGAAGCTATGAAAAGCACGTACTTGGTGATTTCAGATGTGAAAAAAACAACAGACATTTTTATTCATTGTGAGCCAGACATCTGACGTGCTTTTTACCAAGTAAAACTCCAGATACTTCCTTTGACTGAAGGAAATCCCTTTTCAAAGGATGGACAGCATTTGAAAATCTACATTTCTTAATGAACCCTTTCAAGTTAGTTGCTACTGTCTTTCCACGCTTGTCACATGCAAAGCAAGAGGAAACTATTTGAAATGCACACTTTCAAAAAATCTGTACTAAAAAGATGTTCCAGTTCTTTCATGTTGTGTCCAAATAATATATTATGAGGGCATGTTCTGAGTGAACCTGCTGCTCCTGATTCCTGCAACGATTTAAGATGAAGTTACCAAACTCTGCTCTCACAAATTTATAAGTTATCTGGATTCACGAGGTTACTAGGTATATGCACAACATCTTTACTCTACTCCTTATCCTGGGGTAGATGCCATGTTTCTCAGAGGAACTGTAAGGAGAATGGTCCCTCCCAGGTCTGTGCCAGCCTTGTCTGCTGAAGTAGAGAGTAACAGACTTATCAAAGGGAAACACCAAATTCCAACACCTTGCCTGGATTGCATTCACAGACACAGAAAAAAGTATGACAAAGAAGCTTCTGTTGGATCTTGTGCTGATCTTTTAGTATGGATACCACCCATTGGCTCAATAAAAATTGGAACATACACTGATGTGGATAATTAATATCCTCAGAAGAATATGCAGCAGCATTTATGAGGCTCTGGTCCTTCTAGAAGGTACCAAGACAGATTTTTTTTCTATACTGAGATGCAGGGAAGTAAAGAAAAAACAAATCTCACATAGTATAAACTACCTCTGCAGAAAAGCCTGAGATTCTACAGACCTATTTTCAGGACCAATAGGTATCTGTTTCTAAACAATATAGCTGAGTTGCATTTTTGAGAACACTGACCCAAATCCACAGGCGTTTTCAGGCCTCTTCTTCCTACATATGTTCCTAAATCTCATTTGAAGCAGCAATTACAAACTACAGAAGTTAAACCCCTAAATGCCTTTATGTCAGATAAAGCTAATGATCCACAAAACCTAGCCTCCTTGTAGGCTTCATAAAATGTTTAGTGAGAAGCTAAGCTCACATTATGGACATAGATCCCAAACCATGCTCTACATTAAGAACAGGCAACCCAGGAAGAATTCTAATGCACTGACCATACAGCAGAAAATGGGGCCAAATGTGTCTAAGAATGGCAGCATTTTTTCCTCCCCATAATTCTAGTTCCTACAGCTCAGAAGAACAACAAGGAGTTTAACACTAGTCCTAGGAAAAACTTGTTTGAACTGATCTGGCAGACCTGGAAAAGAGTAAGCCTGGGCAGGGCAGTGATGATGGTTCTGCACTCTCCATAACTCCCTGCGTGGTTAAGCCTTTTCTACCTGGGATGGAGCATTTCTAGATTCTGCAGGAGACCCAACAGCACCCTCTTGCTCTTACTGAGATGGGCATTGTAGCCTGTACTGAATACCATACCCCAGAGCTTAAGAAGCATTCCTCATCAGTGACTAGAATAAAAAAAACAAAACAACAGGAAAAAAAACCTACTAAAGAGGGGAAGAAAAAAAGCCCACTTAAGAAAAGAGGGAAATAAAACCCACTTAAACCCTGTTTTCATTTTAACACAAGCCTGCCAAAATGAGGTGAAGATACCAGAAAGATGGGAAACAGATTTTTGTAAAATAGTAACAACTTTTGTCCTCCATAACTATTTCCATAGAGATAGATTTCAACAGCTGAATTTTCTTGACTAACAAAAAGAGAAGTTAGTTCCCAAACTGTTCTAACAGCAGAAGTTAAAAAGACTATTAGAATCTGGCCAGAAAATCTAGAAATTATCTACATCTCTTCATGATCTCTAACTCTGCCTCCTGTTTTAAAAGGCTCAGTTGCCAGACAGCAGAAAACAACCCCCTTTTTGAATCCTGATCTATTTCAAAAACTTATCACTAGCAACATACAAACTTCTCTATAAGTATGAAAATCAGAAGCCACTAAGAACAATCCTGGCCCCTGAAGTCCTAACAAGAGCAGCAGTGGCTTGTTTCTGATGCAGAAGAATCTGTGGAAATTAATAGCTTAGCAGTTTAAAACAAACAAAACCACATAACTAGTTTCAAAATATTGGCCAGAACACAGCCCATGACATTACTGTTTAAGTATCAGACACCAAAGACTGATATCACCTGAACGACTACTCTAATTCACCTGTTCCAGAAGAATGCTCCAGAGAAAAATGTTTAAGGTGAGCTGACAGGATCTTGGTAAGGTGTCTAGGTTTCTCAGACATCTCGTCTAACTGATTCACTTCTAGTCAAACTAGCAGCTTTTATAAGAAAGTGAAAAAAACCAATTCATCACTGAATAGAAGCATGTCTAGTGGTATTCTTAACAATATTAAAGTAAGTTAAACATTTTATCTCAACAGAATCCATGGTATAATACTGATTTCCATGAAAACAACTGCTTTTTCAAATCCTCTTTTCCTATTACGGGTGCTAGCAGCCTTTTTCTCTTAAACTATTTGGCTATACTCAAGATCTACATTTTTTTATTATTATTTATTTTTAAATCCCTGCTAATTGAAAGATACAGGCACCGTTACTAGTAATATTGTTGCAGTTCAACAAAAGCAGATTCAGAATTTCTTCTCTGTTGCACCGCAACAGAATATTTTCAGCTGGTCTAAACTGTAGGTCAGAGTATGTAGGCAAAAATAATAAAAAAAAAAAACCCACAGCACCACTCATCTGTAGGAAGAGATGTTCTCTAAACAGCACTATTTTAAACTTCAACTTTCAAAATAAGAGTCACATGTCACTACGGTCTTTTTTTTTTGATTCTGTGTTGTATCTGCTTACTTCTGCTGACCACAAGAAGTTTTGCCTGTGCTCAGCCTTGAAGCTCAGTTTATTTTTCCAATTGTTTCCCACATATAAGTAGCATTACTGAGGAATCTAAAGCCTATTGCTCAAATATAATGACCTCAACTGAAGTAAAAACCAGACCAAACCAAAACACCATAGCTTGAGTAGATTAAAATCAAATACGCTCCTGAGTAACTAAATCCAATCAATAAACTAGGCAAAAATGACACAGGCAAGCAAAAATGACACCCAATGACCTTAAGAGGATTTTTGCTTGTTTTGAAGTAGTTTTTCCCATTTCTCTTATGTGAGCTTATAATTCTTCTTGGGTCGGCTGTTCCCAGAGCATTCCTTACCAACACGGACTTTGTGCTCGGGACATTCAATGCCCAGTGTTAGGAAGTGAGTCTTCATTCCCTCAAGTAAACCTTAAAAACGTAGCTGGTAGGAACCGAGAACGTACACGCGTGTCGCACGCACAGGAACACGCCAGCACACAGACACACAGGCACACGCTTTCACATTTCTTTTCAGTGCACTGGAAACCCACCGTATCCCCCTGCTTGGATGGGTGTTTTTGGAGAAGCACAAGCATATAGACTAAAATCCTCTGTCTGGAAGCCAGCCCGGTTTAACGAGGGTTCAGATGCACTGCGGTGAATTTTTGGCAATGACCGGGCCAGAAGCTCAATGGAGGCAAGAATCTAAAACCAAGTAGAAAATAAGTGATCAAATCTGTTGTTCCAAATTCGTAATAGTCTCTTAGAACCAAAGGCAGAACATCAATTAACTACAGAAAAATATTTATACACAAATTTAAACAGAAACGTTTAAAAATAGATTACTGCATTGCACTCTGATGTTTACATCCTCAGAAAGCTGAAAAGGACATTTTGGGAAGAAACTGTCTCATTTTTCCCCTTTAAGAGGGCATACCGATTTCTCTCTGTGAGCCTAATGAATATAGTTGCCTTTTATTTGCGTCCTTGTTTATGCACTAGAACCCATACCTGCCATCGCTGCAAATAACTAAATAATCAATAAATAATTAAGCAGTTTGCTTAATACCATCTGCCGCAGAGCCAGCAGGGGGAGCTCCTTAGTTTTTGAAAAGGCTTTGATTCTATTCCAAACGAAAAAAACATAAGGCTGGCCTCCCGTCCAAGATTTTAGACTCCAGACCTTCCTCAGGAGGCACAATAAATCAACTTTTGTAACAAAACTATCAGTTTCCCTTCATAAAAGCTTGGGGGAGAGCAAGGAGGGGAGGTATAAAGATTTCTGAGAGCGTACACAGCAAGTTCTAATTTGTGTGTCTAATCATGATTATTAATTTCACTGTCTCCCAGTTGAAACTTTCCCCAGCACATAAATGCTTTTCCAACTACACAACTCATATTAATACCTGCTTTTGGAATTGAAAACAAACACTTTATTTAATTAAACAGCACTAATCAGGTACCAAGCCGGTACTCTTACGAAATCATGCTACAGCACTAATAAAAAACATTTTGAACTGGCCCGTGAGTTCATAACTAATCTTTATTTTTAATATTCAAACTGTAAAGTCTACTAAGAACTAAAGGGGAACATTTCTCACCTGTGGAAAAAGGGGTCTCTCATCTCTCTTCTTTTTTAAGCATTCGGCCATTAGTCTCTTCATAGCTTTTGGACAGTTGCTCCGTACTTTGCTGAGGTCTGGAGATAGGTATCCTCGTCCCACCATAAAAATTATCTTTAATTAAGGGCAAAAAAGATGAAAGGGGAAGAAGATGAGTCCATAAAACAAAGAGTAAGAAAAGATGAACATTTTGCTAGACCATTTTAGTCCCAGCAGCAAGTTTTCTGCTCCCTGGAAACATTATCTGGTATTGAAACTGCCAAGTTTCTTAGAGTAATGCTTGCTAACCTATTCAGTACAGAGAAAAAATTAGATTTTTTTGTCCTCCTAAGAGAGATTTCTGTGAAACTTGACCACGAGTAAATGGTTACCATTTATAGCAATGACCATCGAAGAAATAGTTCTTCGGTGTCAAAAACTGTTATAAAACCAAGAATAAGCAACCCTGTGGCAGTAATAGAATGCCTACAAATAAATACTCTGTAAAAATAAATATTCTGTTTTATATTATAAGTCAACAGAAAGTTCACACTGAAAGGTATTTTAAGAAACACATGGAGTACAGATATTAAAAACCTTTACCTTTCAGGAATAAATTCCTTCATGTACTTTTCCACCACAAAAGCTTATTCTTGACATCTGACCACTTTTCCCACCCCACAAAAAAACCTCACCAAAGCAAAAGAGAAACTGCCTGTAGAAAAGGAGACAGGCAGGCTTTGTATTTTCACAGTAATTCCTTTAACATGGAAGGCTTATATTTCACCTAAGGATAAAACTTAAGCATAAAACAAAGTAAAGTAATAGAAAGCAGGAAAGCAAAGCATAAATATGGTTAAGGTTCTCTTGGATATATAAAAAAACTCATCAAACATCATCATGTCAGGCCAAGGTCAAATGCAATGTGGTTTGAGTACTGCAGTTATGCTGCCACTATGCAGCCCTTTCAAACTAGCTCATCAAAGAGCCATTCACGCTGCAGCGGATAATCGCTACCATTTCTGAATACTCAGACAGACCCAGCAGGTGTATCATATCATATTTAATGACGTGTAACTATTTCATATCTGGACACTGGGAAAAAAACAAACAAACAAACACACACAACAGAAAGACCCCACATCCGAAGCAAGCTATACACGTTATTTATACTAACATAATCCTGGTTCTTTTTCAACTTTCTGATTCAGTCGCATCTGTGTTGGCATCAAGGACTATAAAACTCCCATATGGTTTCTTTAGAAATCCCCGTGTGCCAGAGCAGCATTTCATAGTAAAGACTTGCCTACCCTGTCCCCTCCCTCTGCTGAAATAAGACTTAGCATCATCTAGAAGTTAATCATTTCTAAACAACTGCACTGCTTAAGTTGAAACTATAAAAATTTGTTATTATTTATGTTTCCAGTACTCTCTTTACAAATGATATTATGAATAATAAATAATTAAATTTTTATTTTAATTAGAGAAAAGAGACTATCACTACAAGAAGAGTCCTAGTCTGTCTAGAAAAACAATCTGAAGTGTAAAAACAATGATGCTTTGCTCACTCAGATTCTGAGTTATGTCATAGCAACTGATGTGGATGCACCAACACAGAGCAAGGAATATTTCTGTCTTTTCGGACTGGGAGTGTTAAAACTAAAGACATCAGAACACATTTTATATGTTGGCTTCACTTGCAATTTAAAATTTGTTTCAGCACTCAATTGTGAACACCCACATCACTGGGTCCACCTTTCAAATCTCAAAGGGTAAAAACAAAACAATGTCGGAATAGTCCTTTTAGAAGGCTACATCCATCTGGCCAAAAATCTGGACATTTCCCTTCTTTCAAAAAGGCAAAAACAATTAAAAATAAAAATTGTAATAAAAAAAAGAAGGAGTGACTCCAAATTTGATGAATTGGGATGAAGTGTTCTGACAAATACGGAAGCAGCCTTATAAAATGGCATTCACGGATGAAGGTTGCTATGGTTGCAATTCTCAAGTACTGACAGTGAAAAAACAAGGGATGCAGACACAGAAACAACATAAATATATCACCACCCAGACATGGAATAGTTTACACCAAAGATCTTGATGCGTAGATACTATTTTCAGATGAGACAGAGAAATAATGAATCAGATACGCCTTTGCGAACGTGCCTAACCTGTGGAGATGTATTACAGGCCTGCGGTATCATTAGACTTAAGGAATATTTGTTCACAATTAAGTAATCTTCTTAAAGGATTCACACACTCTGGGAAGTCATATACTCCATCAAGCAGGATTTGAGAAATGCTGATATCCTGAAATTCAATTAGATGGTGCATGCATTTCTCAAGACTGAGATGAATATAAAACATTCAGGGAGATGATTGCTGTTCCATTTTGTCGATCCCGCTGCTGAACTATTATTCAGTGCGGGGCAGGGTGGGGGGAAGAGGAATAACTGAACATATGGAGGATCGTTTTGCCTTTGCAGAACTGTTCTAAACTAGATTACTATTAAGTAACCTTCTCTCTCCCTAATAAGTATCCCGGCAACCAGATCAGAAGCTGAAATCTATCCTAGAAGTAAAAAAAAACCAACACAAACCAAAACGAAAACACCTGAAGAGAAGTAAGTAAATTGGTGCTGCGTGGCTGAGGCAGATCTAGAAAATGTAGAAACGTCATCTCGTAACATTGGAATCAGAAACACAAAATCAAACACACAAAACATCAGGATGTGCACTTCTCAAGGCTGAATCAATCTCTGTTTCAGGCCACAGCTGCCTGAAGTTAATCCCTTCCCTTACCTGGTCCCTGTTGTTGATGTTTGAGTATGGTAACTGCCCAGTCATCAATTCATAAAGAACAATCCCAAACGCGTATACATCCGACTGAAAGCTGTACGGGTTTTTATCTTGCATCCTAATAACTTCTGGTGCCTGTACCATAAAAGAAAAGAATTAGCTTTTATTTCACCACATCAGACTGCGCCTCACATGCCAGAAACAAAACATGGACTTGTCCAGAGTAAAAGAGGTGCGAGGCCTACTCTCGCCTTCAGATGTTACTGGGTCCTAATATAGAGTGGATGTTGACATGAATCTCAAAATCCATTGGCTCTTTTTAGCTTGGTGATCCCTTTATTCCTCTACGACAAAACAGACTGACCTTGTCAAGGCCAAGAAGCTATTTTGAAACTAGAATTATCACAACACTGAAAATAATGCCAACAGGGCCTTCAGTTTTTTTTTAGGGAGAAAAGGAGAAAGAATTGCACAGGAGGTCATAACTATACTTCTTATTAAGACTCAAGCAAGTTGTACGACCTCTTGAGAGTAATCCTTAAAACGTAATACCATCTTACTTTTGGCTGAGCTAGTTCCTTTGCAGGATATTTTTCATGCCTTTTCTCACCTTCTCTTCAAGCCTGAATTAATCATACCCTTTTTCCATAGCTACCATTTTCTTTTCAGTTTAAACAACAGAATAGGGGACGAAGACACTAAAGTTTTTTTCCTGACTACTGAAAAACTTATGCTTAAGGAAGAACTGAAAAGCCTTGAATTAGTGATTCATATTACTGCTTGTTTTTTCCAGATTAAGACAGTTTGTATAATTCAGTAGGCTGGAGGGGCTGTCTCAGAAACTTTGGCCAAAGGCAATTAAATTTGTTGAAACAAACACACCACTTCCCCCTTGCTTACCATCCATAGAATAGATCCAGACAACTGTTCAAACTGATGGGATCCGCTCCATCGTGATTTCACTGTGGCTAGACCAAAATCACCTATTTTTACTGTGAGGTCTTCATGAAGAAAAATATCTAAGGGGAAAATGTTAAGGGAAAACAAACACACGGTACTGGTCCTCTCCTACAAGAACAATAAACAGCTGCAAAATTGCAATATTAGACATAAAAGTTCTAGTCAACCAGCACCACTGCAGAAGGTTTTCATATAATATAGATTCTAAGCAGCTGGCATATTGAATTATGGTACCTCAGTGTATCATAAATAATGACTGGGCCAGCGCTGAACAGACCATGGCCCAGGTGGCCGTCTTGAAATGCCAAGTACTTCCTTGAAATGCCAAGTATGAGAAGCTGAAAACATTCCATGAGCGAACTGGTGTAATCTTTCATCACATGTAGAAACCAAACGATGCAAAAATTTTTGTGATACCACAACAAAACGTGCTACATTACTGCAATCACATCAATAGACATAGTAAGTATTCCTTACTTTGCTACTAGTGATATTATCAGTTCTTAACGAAATTTCAACTCGGCAAATATTCACATGTGAACAGCTTTTCACGTCAGTAAGTACATTTCTGGCAATAAAAAAAACCCAGCCAGGAATGCTGTCACGTTCCACAGTCACATCTCTGGGAAAGGATACTATTACTCTTGAGGTCCCTGTGGATGATTGACTTGGCATGCAAATAACTGAAAAGGAACATCACAGATTATTAGATGGGTTAAATGATATTTCACTAATCAACAACTCAAAATTCACTGTATTACCAAAACACTAATTCTGTAGATATTCAAACTGCACATATTTATCAAGGTGATAAAACTTCAGTTACTCATGACAGTTCCTGCAACAGCCACAGGAAAAAAAAAAACCAAACAAAAATAAAATAAAGCTTAGATTTCCAGCTCAAACCTGATGCTACTGAAGAATGTAATAACAATTATGCATCAACTTCTGCTTTTCAGTTGTAACTCAATACCCAGAATAAATATTAAAAAGCTTTGGTAGTTTTTGACACGCCATCCGGTGCTGAAGGTTCAGCCACCCAGCCTTAATGGTGACTGTCAAGACCCTTTGTCACAGCTTTAGGCAACGTGTTTCTAAATTGTGGGAGCTAAACGTGCTCCCCAGCCTCAGTGTGTACTCAAGTACGCTGACTGTTTGTTAGTACGGGACTGGAAAGAAAGAGCTCCTGATTGCAGACTGGCTAAATAGATCGCAAGGAACACAGAGGGGAGTACTTGCCCCACAGAACATATATAGAGCCTAAATTAGGCAACTAGTCTCCCATGGCTCTTTGTTTAGTCAATGAGATTGGCACAAACCTGCTGGAAAAGCCCCAATTTATGTCTCGGCTTGGAATGACGCTCATAAAACAGCTTCTGCATCTCCACTACCTACGGAGGGAGCCTGGGGAGATGAGCAGGCTGACAGAAGGCTGAGCCTGGTTGCTGCAAACACCTCCCTCCCTGCCTCTCGACCGAGAATGTAATAGAATACTTAGTAGAAAAACGGCACAAATAACTGCAATCATCTTAGTGGTTTTCCAGCTGGAGGACGATTTCTCTGATCTTACCTCAGTGTTCTGGTTTTGACACACAATATTGGGCTAGTTTTGTAAATTCTAACTCACTCAATTGCCCTCTATGGGAGTAAGGATTACTTACAGTCCTTAGAACAAAATAGGTATGTTTTCTTCAAATCCTGAAATCTATTATTTAGAGAGCTACAATACTTTTAAGAAAAGAAAAAAAAAATCAATTCTTTTTGCTAACAGGGCTGTCTGTCTTCTGCATTATCTTACATGATTGTGTTCTTTCGTTCACAGTGTGTTTCTTTTTAAACTATGTTTTACCTCCTACCATAAGATGATGTGCACTGTGAAGATCATAAAGCCTGGAACAGAAATCTTTGCACACAAGACTGAACGCTTAACTGCACTGTAATTATCCTTATTCTACTATCTAAGACTGTATTTCCTTGAGGATTTATATTTCCCTACGTTCCAGAAAAAGAACACAAAGTCTATTTTACTAATTAAAAGGATAAAGACTTCACCCAATGCTTTGATCATCAAGGCAGGACCCTTGGGCTTGGCAAAGTGAGCAGAGAGCTGGCTGTCAGTCAGTGTGAAGGGGATAAGTAAACATTGCCCCAGTGCTCATCTGCAGACAAGTAAATACAATACTTACTCCATGCCTTGTGCAGTCTGTCGTGCAATATCAATTAGTTTGATCATTTCAAATTTGGTCTCAATGATGTGTAGATGGTGATATAAACTGGACCCCTCACACCATTGCGTAACAATAGCCAACTGGGGTTTTGTTGAATAACCCATGAAAAGCAGGATATTCACATGTCGCGTTTTCCTGTTGAAAAAAACCCAAAAACATCAGGAGGAACTCAGGCGGATCAGGAAATCAGGAAAAACCCAGGCAGGACTATCACAGTCTAAATATGTATTTCCAAACAGAAGTTGTTGGGTCAATCTCAACTTTTACTAAGATAAGGTGTCTGGAGAACTAGTCCACTGAGGAGCAGCTGATGGAGCTGGGCATGTTTAGCCTGGAGAAAAGGAGGCTGAGGGGAGACCTTACTGCTCTCTGAAAGGAGGCTGTACTGAGGTGAGAGTTGATCTCTTCTCCCAAGGAATAAGCGATAGGAAAAGAGGAAATGGCCCCAACCTGAACCAGGGAAAGCTTAGACTAGATATTAGGAAAATTTTTTACATGGAAAGGGTTATTAAGCATTGGAACAGGCTGCCCAGAGAAGTGGTGGAATTGTCATCCCTGGAGGTATGTAAAAGACGGGTAGACGTAGTGCTTAGCGACATGATTTTTTGTCAGTGTTATGTTTATGGTTGGACTTGATGATCTTAAAGGTCCCTTCCAACCTGGACACTTCTATGATTCCATGATAACCTGTTGATAGATTCAATATAATGAATTACCCAACCAGTTAGCCTTTCTTATCATAATAACATGAAATAGCCATTCAGGTTTGCAGGCAGGTCTGCTGCTGTGTAAGCCCAGTCCAGCTATAAGATGTTGATGCCCATAAGGAGGACTTCCAAAGTGAAATTCCAGTCTCAGAGGCTTCCAGGATGGACAACCCTTTCATTCAGAAACCATCAATACACTTCCTTGGCAAAGCTTCAGTTTTTCTTGAGATGAGAGAATTTTGTACTCTTCATGGAGCCAGCACACAAGAAAGGATGGGAACAGGTATGAAAACTGTACTTCTAAAAGGCTATGATATGAACTTGTTCCCAAACAGCAATGGGAGAAACTGGAGTTTGCCACAGAGATTTGGTGAAATTAAATCAAACCTGTTTCAAAGATGGAGCAACTCCAGACAGAAAAACTTCCCAAAAAACAAGGCAGAGAGGATTATTCTCAGTAGATACACCCATACATTCAAGGCCTGAAAGAATCTACTGACACACTGTGAAATCTGAAAGATTCTCCTCAGCCTCCAGGAGAAGTCAATCACATTCTTATTGTCATCAAATGGACATGAAGAACTAGATACTTCCAAACATATCAATGAGATATTAAGAAGACAAGGCACCTAAGAACTGTGGAGTATTTCCTAGCTCTCCCATGGGCTGAGGAAAACTAAGGGCAATCATTTTCCAACACACCTTGGTACTCAAGGCAGTCAGCTCACTGTTGATGAAACCTGACACACCAAGCTTAAAACCCACAGTAGCTTTTTAATTCTATGCTGCTGCTGAAGATGGCAGAGCTCTTTATGTTTTCTTATACTAAAAAACTAACCTGGTAGCCTAGAGTGTGAACCCCTCTGTCCTCTCAGCAATGCAGACTAGGACAGTTCTACACTATGAGACTCTGCCTTTTTCAGTTTCAAGGATTTGTCAAGTGATGCTGAGAGTAACTGCTGAGTGAACAAAAAAATAAGTGGTTTCTTGCAAATTCTACCTCAAAGCTGTGAAAGTAATAATGAAGTATAATGGAAAGGCACAACTACAGGTAAATCTGACTTGTCTGTGTCAAAGGATAGGACAATCGTATTGCTGCAATGATCAACAACAGAGAAAGGCCAGATTCCACTTATGGGACTGCTAGCAGAAATACAAGGCTTTTTATTTCATTAAGTTCTCCTGAGCAGGCATGCCAAAAATATTAAGAGATACACGAAGTAGCATACCCCAGAAAGCCTCTACTTCCACAACTATGGGCTTAGAATTTTCAGAACTAACATATTCTCGGGAAAAAGGCTGACCGTCCCCTTTTCACTGTGTAGCTTATTGGAGATGCTCCTCCAGCACAGGTGCCCAGCTCAACTGTTCCAGAGGCAAATCCCTTCTTTCTATTATTTTTCTTAAAACAGAATTACGCTTGAGACTGCTCAAGATTGTACTTGGATGCTAATGGCCTTCTCCAATAAATATTCTATTGTATCGTGTTGATGGGTCCTCTTTTAAGACCTGAGCCCAAGATAAATACTTCCTCTGAGAAAGTACAAGCAATAGACATGAGGAAAGGAAATCAAGAAATGACTTTATGAGAAACATATTTTTAAAAAAATCTCAAAGAGAAGTCAATGCTGCTGAACAGAAACTATTAAACAATTGATAATGTGAGCAGTGCTGCTGCTCAAAATGAAAAATTAACCATGCTCTACTTCAATCTTAAAACATGGATGAGAGGAAAGAAAGTCCTAGAGTTCACACTTAGGCTTGACTGTGCCCTAGGGGAGTACAACAGCAAAAACCAGAGGTGTTCTCAAGCGTTTGGACATACATAAATTCACAATATAGGTGTGACAAACACACACAGGGGAAGGAAGTAGCAGCAGTGGGTACAAAGAAATATTTTTAAATGGCAGGTTATATTTTCTACCCGAAGTATCATCATGAAGGAATAAGAACAATGTGTTATAATGGAAATCTAAAATTAAATGATTAATAGAGCATAAATGTACACTCATTATTTTATGCCAGTAAAAATATTCTTACCTGAGCACTCCTACTTCATTTTTGAAAGCCTGTAACTGTTGAGGTGTGGGTGCCGTAACATTCAACATTTTCACTGCCACATCACCTTTAAAATAGCAATTTTTAGTAAGTGTCATTGATACATATTTTTCTATTGAGAAAATGCTCTATAGAGCATCAGAAATATTAAGATACCCTATTTTCTAGCATTCATGAAATAAAACACTATAATATTAAAATAAGTAAATATTCTGTAAAATTTATAAACGCTATTCTTATTTTACTGTGAGAAATCTTAGTCAGGTCAAAGCTTTTCAAATACACATTTGAAATCCTCATTCATCAAGACGAATACTCCAGCCTTTCTAGTAACTATGTTTCATCTTTATCTGAATAACTACTGAATTCAGAACATAAAGATTTGAGTTCCTAAGTAGTCTGGAGTTCTAACATTACCTATTTAGCACACTACTTCTTAATTTAACAGTCCATGTCTCTCTTATACTGAGGAGTCCAGCACTCCAGGTGTGGCCTCACCATCGCTGAGGGGAAGGATCACCTCCCTTGACCTGCTGGCAATGCTTTGCCTATAATGCAGCCCAGGATATCATTAGCCTTCTTTGAGGCATGGGCACGCTGCTGGGTCATGTCCAACTTGGTGTCCACCAGAATCCCCAGGCGCTTTTCTGTGAAGCTGCTCTCCAGCTGGGTGGCCCCCAGCAGGCAACGTTACTTGCTTCAGAATAACTGTTTGCCATGACGGCCACATACCGTGCCACTTTCCTTTGTAGACTGTTCCAAATGATCCAGATCCTATCCTTTGTCCAACTGTGATCTGTCCATCTGGTATCTCCCAATCATCACTTGAATCCCGTCGACCAAGGGTTTTCTTTATATATACACATAAACAATAAAAAGGAAGAAACCATTAGTGCCTGTGAAAACCGCTCCTTTGTTAAAGATTTGGTATCAGCATTTCATATCATTGAAGTCCTAAAAGAACTTTCTTTTTTAGATACTGTATTTGACTTTTCAAGCCAGCCATATGCAAAACCTTTAGTATACTAAATTATTTCCTGGCATGAAATAATTGCCACAGGTTTCTGGCAGCATTAAAACCAGTAAATATTAAGAAACTCTTACCAAAAAAAAGTCTCATTTATTTTTCAATTCTTACTCAATGATAATGCTAACTTGTGAGTTAAAAAAGATTGCAGACATTTTAATGTATTTTTACATTTGAGAATCACTACAGAACTTTCTGAGTTCATGAATCGTGGTGGGAAAAGTCAAGCTGTTATTTGAAAGGAAACTGGCATTATAATATGAAGCACACCAAAATATTTGGGTGCAATGGAGTAAGAGTATAGTAAATTATTTAAATGATTTATGTATCAGTCCCACCATTTCAATATTCCATTATTAATTGGTTTAAAGCACTTGATCATTACCATACTTATCTCCAAAATAAATCAGAAGGCTTTGATGAAAGAAGAGCAAGATGAACATGGTTGTGCAGTATTTCTATACTATGAATACACCATGATACGAATGAAAATAGCTGATCTTTTCCTTACCATTCTATTTCTGTCTTCTGAGGATGAGGATGATTTCCTTTCCCGCTGGGGTCCTGGTGATTTCTGTAACGCCTTCACATTGGTGAGTGACCCAGGCAAAGAGGCAGGAGGTGTTGCAGACAAACCTGCAGTTGAACCTAAATTTCAGAAACGGGATAATTTTTATCTGTAAGAAGCCAGCTTACAAGAATGCATTGCTATTAGGTGCAAGAATTGTGTTTAAGATGCAGTATCTCCAAACATCAATGTAAATGTTAAAAGGGGACAAACATGTACTAGGAATATTGTCCTCATATTACATAGTGCTCAAGTCTTAGATTTCAGGAAGAGACAAGCCTATAGCAAACATCCTGTATATCAGATAGTTCCCAGTCTCTTGTTCATGAATTACCAGAAGGACAATGTCTCTTTAAATAGAAAAAAAAAGTTTTAGAAGTGTTTTTTAATTCCACCAGTTTCCTGGAGAAGAAAAGTAGTAGAATTTTAGTCAGCAGTAGCTATCTCTCAGATTTCTTGTAGCTAACCTTTTAGGGGCTCAATAAATAGCCAGAATAATGTACTTTGGAATCAAAACAGACTGAATGCAAAAAATTTAAATATTTTCTAGTTGAGTCTCCAAGTGCCACCTGAAAACCATTTGGCTGTTTTAAAGCTATCTGTTAGCAGAGAGCTCTTATTTAAAAGTAAATATTAGACTGCAGAAAGAATTAAAAAAAGAATAAATAGTTAGCTATTTGAAGCATATTCTATTAAATACAAAAAGAACAGTACATCTGTAGCCTATACGTTATCTAAACAAATCGATGCAGTAAAATGTCACTAACAGAGCTGTTTCAGGGCCCCAATGGCTCTTTACAAATAGAGCACTTCAACTAGATACTGCTTTTAAAATACACCGTAATTATTTGTAACAAGGTTATGCTGACCTTCCCAATGCAAAGGACATGAAATAGGGTCAACTGTTAATTAAATTCATGCTGCTTTGCTAAACAATGTATGTCACTGTACAAGACCTCTAACATTCCAATGCTTTCTCTCCCATCAGTGCTCTGAGAAGTGGTAGGAGACAATATTCCTCCTCGTACTCCTTCAGATGGCCCCTCCTTACCAAAAAAGTATCTCCTAATGCCAACTTGACTTGAAAAAATTGACTTTGGGGCTTTTAAAACTGTTGCTCGAGTTCAGTCACTCGGTGTGTGCTAATTTATCCACCACTGCCTGTCCTCACTGAGCTAAAATCCATACGTTTACAAGTGGAAGCTCAAAATAATGCCATACCAACATACCACAAATGGGACGCAGCACCCGCAAACTTTCTCCCACCTCCTAAAGCAACTATAATGATGCACATTGGGCATCCTAATTACATTTACAAGCAGCTGGAGGCCAGTGACCTGATGGATAGACTTTTGTTCATATTTATGTTATGGTCACTATACTGTCATTTATTTATTATATTATTTGTCTGAAATCACACATATATGGAATTAAGTGCATGATGTTCCCAGAACATGAGTGATTTTCCAAAAAAATTACTGGACTTACTCTGTAATGGCAAAGCTCTGCTGAAATGCGGTTTCTTTCGAGGCAACTAAAGTCTCCCATTTAGAATGTAACACCACAATGTAGGAACACTAGCACAACATTCACCCTTCGCCAAAAATGTTTACAGCATGTGGTAGAACATAACAGTTAATCTGTTCATAATAATACCAGATGGCCTGTTTTCCAAGTTATTACAGCAATGTAATGTTCAGGTAATGTTGGACTTAGTCATTAGCTTGGACTCTGAAGCTGTACGTAACGTATTCCATTCTGTAGCCAGTTCGCTTGTTGGAAACGCCTGTCTTCTTACAAAGACTTCTGGAAGAACTTTACAAGTTCCTAAAGCAAACTGCTCTTGATATATTCTGAAACAAAAGTCTTTGAAACAGCCAAGATGGTAGCATTTGAAAACCACACTACATGCACTGAACTACCCATTTGTACATGTACATGTATAGACACAAATAGTCACATTTCATGCTATTACTCAATAGTTGGGTTTCTCCAGCATATGCAATCCCACAAAGTTTGGGGGGATTTTGTGCAATACAACAGATCCATTGACAGCTTTAGGCCCGAGTTACCCCCAGAGTCAATGACATGAAAATGGAAGAGTCTTACTTTACACGGTACAGGGCACAAACAAATACTGTTTCACTGGAAATTTACTAACTAAATAAAAACTACGGGGTCTAAAGCATCTACGGCCCCAATGTGGTATCAACAGCACATTCTCGAAATGAAGTATTTGTTGAAAGCTGATATGACACATTACTTGAAAGGCTTGAGACCTAATAAGATATCAATGGAAATGTTTGTAATTTACATTTGATTTCCTAGCTTACTTTTCAAAACAAAGAATATTCAATATAGAAAACTGTTAAAGCACTGAACTGACTTAAACTGAACAGTCAAGGAAATTCTAAGTTAAGGGCACCACTTTGTCTTTAAAATGCAATCCAAGGACCTTTGCTTAGAAAAGCTATGCTAAGGTCCACGTTAAAACCTCAACTATGAAATTCCTTGCTTTTGAAGATTTAAGTCAGACTTTATTTATAGTCATTTTCAAGCGTGTAAAGGTGAAAGTGAGTATGTGTGAAAAGCACATTCAAAGCATTCCAGCCAGGCCAAGCAAAAAACAGAGGTGTTCTGATAAACTCACACACTTACATACACACGGTGTGAGGGTGAGGCACAAACAGCATCTGTGGTTTTACTTATTTTGTTTGGGTGAAAACAAGAAAGAAGAGCCCAACTACCTCTGAACACTGGGCCAGGCTCAAAATCAAACACTATTTCACTGGGGACAGAATGAAGGAGGGGACTGGGAGTCCGGGATTGGTATTTCCGAAGACAGCGCATCAGCTGGTTCAAAGGGGCTGTTAGAGAGAAAGAGACGGGCAGGCAGAGACAGAAAGACAGACACATAGAAGAAATGAAAGAAGTCATGGGAAATAACTAGGATGCTTTGACTCCTATTCATAGATTGCTTCTGTACTTCGAAGGAGAAAAAAAAAAAGTCAATTACTAATAACACTGTGTCAGGACTGGGAATAGCCAATTGTTTTCAGATGCCAAGCAGACAGTTTATGATCAAAAGTTAAAACCAACATGATAGCACAACATTTAAATGCTGGACAAAATGGGCAAAACTGTGGAGAGCCACACCTATCAACACATACAAAAAATAGCTAAAACTGGCAACTTCAAATTAGTCAGCTTGCAGGATTAAAGGAAATAACTCTTTTTAAAAAGCATTCTATTGCTGGCATAAGAAAAAAACCAGCTCCATCAAACACAATGCAGTAGATAGGTACAGTAGATAGGTACTGTCCTATCAACTACTAGATTTGGATGGGACAAAGTAAGTCAGTGACAGCCCACACTACAAAACCTTAGAGATCAGGATAGAGTGCGGTAGGGTCATTCAGACTTTACTTATGGCAAGTTATAATTAGTAGGAGACGACTGTGTTAATGATTTGGAGTTGGAAAAGCCGTCATATGCCTGCCCTACTTACTATTTCTTTATTTATGTTATTTCTATATTATTAATATATTCACAGGAATAAATACAGCACATAAGAAGCCCCCTCAGGACCTCAACAGCCAGCCGAAGTGACTTAATTGGCCCGTGCATAATATGTGAGGAAAAATAAATCTTCTGGCACTAGTTCTGACTTAAGTGTGAATTAGGGCTGTGTCTTACTGACAGAAAAACAAAAAGACCCGGCTTCGGCATAAGGTCCTAACAACCTGGTTCCAAGAGTAGCACAGGCATGCAGTGCAGCAAAGCAGCATCTTCAGCAGGGGTAGAGGGGGAGAAGAACGGGAGCATTTCATGCTGCTTTAGGATGCAGCAGTTCACATGGAACTTCCATCTACCGCGTTGACGGTTTTCAATGAAAACCCCTGTTGTTTCCATGGGTGGAAAAGTAACAACAGGCATAATAAAAATCTTGGAGAGAGAGTTGGGAAGTTGTAATGTATCTGTGTGCGGTCGCGTGAGTGAATGAGTGTGTGCGTGTGAGAGCAAAAAAAGTGACGGTGCAAAATAATTTTAAAACTAAAAAACTAGATACCACTTCAAAACTTTTTCTCCTTCCGTCTCCCCCGCTCCCAGAATGACCAGCAAATGACTCTAACCTTTGTCAGACAAATATTAAGTTCATGGATAAGCAAATGCAAATTCATTTTTTGTTCTAGTCATATTTTCCTTTGTGCCTGTCTTTTTTAGAAGGAAGTAGAACAAAGGGAAGGGACATAGTGGTTGTGTAATTAAATATAGCACAGTAGCTGGTTTAGACACTACTTACCTCCCTCTCCTCGTAAACCCTGGTCTCTAATCAAGTCCTATAAATAAAAGAATAAATTGTGTTTAGTTTACGTATGATCATTTACATTCCAGAATGTATTAAGACTGATCAAATTGAGAACCCACAACCATGTGTTGTCCATGAAATAAAAGTTGTTTGCTACCCTGGCTCACTAATAGCAGCGACTCCAACAAACCATTTATAACAACTACTAAACTTTTCAAAATTAGTTGCCTTAAAACAGCATCTCTTAGTAGTAAAGTGAAATGTACAACGCCCAAAATAGATGCTGACATGAAAATATTGATTTAAACACATAGTTGGCCAAAATATACGAAGAAATATTGAACCAAACGTTCTAGTTACAGTGTTTGTGGCACAAATTATTTGAAGTGTCATATCAGAAGCTGGGACACCCATTTCCTGTACTGAGGTACATCAGTCAAATGAGTTCTGCTTCATTTTATTTTGTTACAAAGCACCTCATTTGCATAGCCAGGCGCACTCTGTTCTCAGAAATGACTCACTGCAAAAAGGTTTTCTTCACTTGTAATCCACTGCGAACTGAGAGTTTCTTCTACAACATACCCAGACTAAAAGGAAACTACACCAAGGATTTTTTTCTAAACAGAAGAGAACTAGAAAATTCTAGCAATAACTTCTGTATGTCCATTTTCATCATCAAGCTTTTTTTTTTTGCTTTTTTTTTGGTTACACAATTACTTTATTGCTTTATACACCTGGCACTGCTGCCAAAAGCACTGGTCCTGCCCTTCAGGGGCACCACTGCCATATACCACATGCAAATGTCTACGCGGCCACACTCTTAATACAAAACAAACATTTCACCTTTCACTCAGTTCACATGCAAAACACATTTTGTGCCTCAGCATCCAGGCAGATTTCAAGACTGCTCACCTGACAAATGACTAATTTCTAGAGAGTAGGCTTAAGGGTAAAACAGAAGCTATATACGTTCGCAAAATTAGAAAGAGGTTGCTGTGACCAATATTTTGAAAGGTCCTAGCTGGCCTTATACCTAGTATTAACCGTTATTATTATTATTATTATTATTATTCATGATTCAGCAAGCAGAAATTTCAAAAATGTGGAAAACAAGTTAAGTGTAGCCATTTCTGAGCACTGCAAAAGAATGCTCAGACCCATATACACTAGGCTCTTGAAACCCTCAGGAACATTCAGTAAATCTGAACTCAGCCTACTGCACTAATTCAATCTTCTTCAATGCCAGAAATATTACTTGAATTACAAATGCTAAAAATCCCTATATTGCACATGAAGAAATATGCTTAACACATACAATGGTTTGCGAGAGTGGCTTTCATATCCTTAACACTGTGGCACAGCTAGCAACATCAGCCTTGGGACAAATGGCAAAAAAAGAGAGCAGCGGTTTATAGTAGAATATTTCTTTGAAAATGAAAGGCAAAAACTGTCAAAAGGCAGTTTCTGCTTTTGTAGAATAGGTCATTTGCATTCTTACAGCTCTCAATAGCAAAAATGTCTTACATATGAAGATTCTGACAGACCACCAAGGATTATCTTAGAAACACGGCGCTTGTGTGTACACGATAAATTTAATGGACTGATATTCATATGGAAAACATCAAATCTACTATTCCTGATCCAAATGTTATTAATACTTACATCAATATTGACTGGCTCGATTGTATTGATGTGAACATTGGGAGCTGAAGAGGATCGGTCGCGTTGCCCAAATTGATTCCGATGGTCTTCATCTGCTGGTCGGAGGGGCTGTGGGATTGGAATGGATTTTGAAGGAGAAGGACTAGGGAGAATTGGTGGTCTGAGAAACAAAGTCAAGGAAAAAGAGGATTTAGGTCTACAAATGGCTTCAAATACTGCATAGTGGGTGTGGTAAGTCCTTTTCAACTATAATAATACATACATTAAAAAAACTGATCTAAAGGCCTCCATGAAAACAATTTATAATGAATGATCTCTATTCCACTATGATTAATTGCAGCAACTCTCTGCTGCACAAACTACCTAATTACATGTCTGTGAAGTGTTCTGAGTTAAAACAAAACAAAAAACCCTAACGTACCATAGCAAACTAGTAATAATAAATCCTAAACTGAAAAAGTCACGTAGCCCAACATGCACTGCAGATAACAAAATACTTTGCAGTTTCCTCACTTCAGGGTTCATGCAATACACTCTTTTTAATGGCAACCCATTGAGAACTAAAAAAGCTTAACATCTCACATCAACATTACAGTCAGATGATGTCAAAAAACAAATTGTATGGATGGGATTATTGTTCAATGAAGAAAGACTGAAAATTACATACTGCTCACTCCTCATAATCGATTAATATTATAGTCACTGTAATATGAATTATTGAAACGAAAAATAAGCATGACACCTCTTAACCTCAACCTTTGATAAGTAACTTTGAATAGTGCAACATTTCAAATGTTATTTACAACACTACAGTTTGGTGATGCAAGAGATTTTACTCAAAAGGTAAGTGTTCAGACTATATAGACAAGTTTTCTGAAGAAAAGCAAATGCTACCAGTTATAAAAGTAAATAAAGTCTTTAATGTATGGTATCGTGAATCACATATTTAAAATACAAAACATCTAAACACTTGTTTTTTCATTTGTAAAAAGGCCAAATGTCACTTCTCTGGCTCCCCATTTCTTTTGTTAAAGTACGATATATTAGCACTTATCTCTAACTTGTCAGATCAGTCACTGTTAAGTCTAATGATCAATTTAATAAAGATACAGAAAAAGGTCAATGAGAAACATTGGCTACCTTTGTCAAATAAAACTTTGTGTTAAACTACACGTGATATCTGACTATGAGGTTTTTAGAACTTTCAGAAAACACAACCCTTCAGAGAGGGGGGTAGTGCAGTTACTCATGGTTAGTTACCATGCCCACAAAGGCGATGTCCACAGGGACAAACTTCAGAAATAAACCATACAGGAAGCAGCACGTAGCCACAATAGGTCCTGGTGCCACCTCCTGCAAGAGAACCTTCCTTGGCTTCTCCAAAGATCTTCAGCGGCAACTAACATTTTCAACAGGATCTCTTGATGTTTTTTCAGAAACAGGCCTGCTTTAAAGGCTATTATATTACCCTACCTTTCATTGAAGAGTTTATACAGTTTGGCACCCATCCCAGAACTCAGTGCTATCTGTATCCTAAGTACCTGTCATCTTTTCCTTCCTGGCCAACAGACTCACAATTGAGACCAGAGCACTTCCAAATTAATTCAAATAACAGTCTGTAATAAAATATTTGGATTATGTTTGGGATGTTAGGGGCAAGAATAGGTAGGGGGCTTAACTTCTGGGAAGAAATGAACTGAAACTGTCAATAGACAAATCTCCAAGAAAGGACTTACAATAGCCTAGGATTTCAGAAGATGCTCAGAATTTCAGAAACATTTTTTAAATGCGGTTAATGTACAGATATGTAAGCCAAAGTTTTCATAAATTGCTAAAAAATGCCTTCAGGTAAAATCTTTTCTATTGTAGATGAGAAAGTTTTGAATTCCTGAAGCTTTTTGTAAGGAAATCATGCAACTAGAATCCACATCAGGAGATGGGACACTGCAGATACGAGTGCAGGATTTGGTTGACATTCTAAGGCAATGTATTTGCACTTTAAAGCAAGCGTGTCAGGTGCTGCACAGAAAGACTTCCGAAGAAAAGCCTAAAAAGTGTCTCGCTGTCATTGCTGGGGTGGTTAACTCAGACTTCCTGAGAATTCTCAGTAATAATGAAGTCAAGGGTAACAACATCTCTGATCGTAAGCCAGCCAAAGGAGAGAAAACCAAATTGCAGAAATATTGTTTCAATTACATCCTCCTTTGAGTCATAAATGGTCATCTGGTTAAGGGAATCTGCAAATACTTCTGTTATTTCTGGTCACAGGTCATCACGCCATCATGTTGCTAGCACAGATCGCATGCTACGTCATACTGTGTTTGAAAACAATCTGAATAGCTTTTTCTATTCATTAAATTCTAACCGGGGGAAATTCAGATCTTTAGAAAACAATTATAGGCTGATAAAGAGCTCTCTTTTTTGGAGTCTAAACTATTATTGGGAGGATCTCTGGATTTTAGACACCAAAGAATCCAGAGATGGGAATCTCATAAACAATTAGCCACGTGCTCCATCTATACAAGCAGGATTTCATTAATGGGTGTCCTTGGGACACTTATCAAAAGGAAAGTTATTTTCGCTAAATGGGAATTTTGCTTGGAAAAGGTAACTAGTGAAGAGAAAGACACAAGCAGTTCGCTAGCCAAGATGGCCTACTGAGATCACAAACTCAGAAGAGATTACCACCAGCCTCTGCCTGTGTGCAGCAAAAGCTGTATCTTGATTTGCATCAAGATACTGATCTACAGAAAACATGTCACCACAAAGAATGCAGCAACCCTCTTAGCTACCCAAAGCACAAAATTTTAATTACTCCAGGAGGGCAGAATGGACACTGGAGCAAAAAGGACCAGCCATCATCATTGGGAAGAGGATGATGATGTCTATTCCATGTGAGTTACAAAACTAGTTCTGTAGGCTATGCAAACATGGCCAAAAATAATAAAAATCAAGAAGACCAGAACACAACTGCCGCAAAGACCTGTTTGCTGTGGCAAATATGTATAGCAGGCTTAAAAGAGCAGCAGTTTAAATATCAGGATCTGAGTTTCTGTTGCTCCTGTGGCCTTTGTGAGCAGTGAACAGCCAACCTGAGAGAAGACCTTCTACAAGTAAGAAGGTCAATGTGCTGACACATTAGAGAGTTTACATCACCTCATCTTGCACATTTTCTTCCAGTATCTTAGATGTGGGCATTCCTTTAACAAACCATTGTCGGCTTCCCAGGCAACAAGCTGATAAAGTTGTCAAATCTTGATTTAATGTATTATAACCTTTCCTGGCAGTATGACAGAACATGCTTTTTCCTTGGACCGTGTATATGGGATAAGCACATTGTTCCCTCCCATTTTTATCAAGACAAAACAGAAAGAGGTTTTGTCAGGAGACAGGAGTAATTGCAGATGGATGTAGATTTTTAGCCTTTGTCAATCACAGCAAGTGTCAACATGTCCACAGATTTTCTATTCTACAAAATTGGGTCCATGGGAAAGAAGAAGGTAACTCAGAAAAGTGCCCGCACATACTACTATATATATAATCAAACAATTTTATAAAATCATATACAGTACCTCCACCAAATCTCAGAAATTGCAATGATACAAGTTAGTTCACTTTACAAATACAAAAGAAAATTTTAATACAGATTTTCCTGAATTTACTTTCATTCACCAATGTGATATTTCATATATTTAAGAGCTGGTCTACTCAGGAAAGATTTTTCTTAAAACACATTTGTCTGGGCTTCAAGATTTCTGCTTGGAATTTTTTATTTTGCTGTAGTGAAGCAAATACTTAAACTGAAAATTCACATTCACCTAGCTTCATGTTATAGGGTGTGTGCCACTTCCTTTTTAAAATGACAGCATCTCTACTGGACTGAGATTTTTCTTCTCTCAGCCTGAACAAGAGCATCTCAGCTCAGCCCCTGGCTCAGTGTAGTACACACTATTCACCGTGTAGACTGCATACCCATCCCCATTTTGTTACTGCTGCTAGTGAAGATCCCAGTGCATTTCCACTTTCAAGCAGTTGCTAAGGATCTGGGATACAATGGTATATCAGCCACACTAGCCGGTAAACTGTAAATTTTGGAGGCCAAACATGGTCTAATTTAGTTATTGTAGTACTCCATAGATATTGCCAGAAAACAAAGTTGTTTTTTTTTTTCCTTTCCCCACCTCTGCAGCCTGGAAATAGTCAGTAACTCCAAATCAAATGTAGGTTTGGAGAAAAGTCAGTCTAAAAGCATCACGGGACAGATCTGTAACAGTCATAATTTCATATGGACTACTGCTTTTCTCTATACCGTGAAAACTTGTTTTCATCCATGTTGTCTTGCAGGTGTAAGATAACTTCCAGGATTATCACAACAGTGTGCATTTATACTGGCCTTTGGGCCCAGCTCAAAGCTCAGCAATGCCTTCCTAAAATTTCTGACAGCTTCACAAACCAAGGGCTATGAAGAGAACACCCACAGCTGTCGCTAGTCCTCCAAGGTTTGAGTTCACTAGTGTGTTGTTGCAAATAAGGTTTTGGGGAGGCAAGAGGGTTCGGTTCCTGCACCCATTGTACAGAATAAAGATGATTTTTCTAAAAACTTTGATACCAGACTTTTTCTGCTCAGCAAGAATGCATATTGTAGGAAGTTTGCTAACGTTTATATGGAGTGGTCTGGAAAAGATCTGGTGCCAGAATTTTCAGGGGGAAAGCTCACTGTTTTATGCAGTACAACACAAAGCTTTTGCTCACTTAAACACATGGGGATCTAAATGGCGTTGTAGTACTGAATCTAGTACTGTAAGACTATGTCGTTGTTCCCTTGGCTTTGCAGAAGCTTTTCTAGACATTTAAATGTCTTTGGCTGAGGCAGAATGATCCGTGAACATTCGGAAGACAGAAAGGAAAGCAGAGGTGTTTAATCACGGGCTGGAGCCTGCTCTAAGGCAGGGACTGGCAACCTTCCAAGAACGGTGCACCAGACAGTCCCCCTTCCTTCCTCAAATTGAGAAGATCAAGCACATTGGGAAATGTTGTTTTTCAAAGAGCCAAGATGTTGCCAACCCGCTTACTAGCGGTGTTCTGCCTCAAGCAAAGCAGATGCTTTCAGTTTCTTTGGAGCCCAACCTGCCCCTGTTGCTATTCAAAGTCTGACCAGGCGTCCCCTCACCACCCGCTCCACAGGTGACTCACCCTGCCATAACATCTGCCTCATGAGTTTGCTGAGTTTTGCCCAAGATCACACCATCTGAGAGAATAGATGGAAGTTGAAAAAGACAGCTTTGGAATATTTTCAACAGCTAATCTCTTCCCTTTTCATGTAACATTCAGGGAACTGGGTTCACAAAAATTCTGTGCTCTTCTTTTACGAGCAAAGATCCAGAAAATCTTAATGGCAATGCAATGAATGAAATGAATACAATGTATTACATACAGTTTACGTACTTCAATTTTATTACAGATGGCTATTATCCGGGAGACCTACACTTTAATAATTCTTTCCAGTTAGTGCAGATTATAACTAAAATGACTGCTTTGGCACAACAGGATAGTGCAAACTGAAAGAACTGAAATAGGACAAAAGACCTAAAAGGGGAGGCTGGACACATTTTCATAAGGGGTTCAGAAATGTGCAAGTGGGACCACATGTGCTCCCTCATCTTTGGGAGGAACGTCTGGAGGGACTGCCTATGGATTACAGTTGGAAGAATGAAAGGCTACAGGGCTGGACTGCTTTAGGATGTGTTTTGCTTTACACATGAGCAAAGTGCAACAAAGTTCTCCAGCACATTTAGCAGCTTTTGCATCATGTCCAATGGTCTTTTCCTTTACGTCCCTTTCTCATTCCAACTTCTCCATTTGATCCCTTGACAACTTCTCAGCATGTCACACACGCCTTTGCTCTTGAGCTTGTCTTGCAATACAAACTCTTCCTTTCTTTGGGCACTTTGCCTGTCGCTGGAATCCCTTCACAAGGCTAAAGATGAAGAAGGATGTTTGCCTTCTCTTTCCTCAGGTTTACCAAACGATTAGCAACATCCCTTCCTCTGTGGGCTGTGTCATACAAGATGCTAGGAAAACAGAGAAATCAAAGGAACAATTATTAAACTAGTAAGTGTTAATAAAGTGCTCGTTCCTCATATTTTCAATCCCACTGCCCAACTCTCAAATTTCAAACCCCTACTGTCTTCCAAGACAAGATAACCTCAAATGTCAGACTTTTTTTTTTTTTTTTTTTAATTCCAGTTGAGCTGTTGTTCCATACTGTAGCAGTACCCTTCAGTGAAACTGTGGGTAAGTACGCTTTTCTAGAGAAGGCCAGTATTTTTCAGTTATATATTTAAAAAGCAGATAAGTATTACTAAAGAAAGGCAAAAGGATAACTGGATAAAAGTATGGACAGTGCTATATGCTCAAACAATAGCATCAGAGCTGCTTCTGGAAAGGAAAATTGCATGACTAACATGCACATTACTTAGGAACACCAGCCAATAATCATAAGCCATTTTCAAAATAAACAGAATTTTGAAGGCATGATGTATGCCTTTTTTTAATTTAACAATGATACGTACAACAAGGCAAAAAAGTAAGAGTAGAAACCTAGAAATCTTTTACAGCTCCTGCAACCACAAACATTTACAGTCACAACACTTCTTAACTTCAAGCTTAACCTCAACTGGAAAGTATATTTAAATGTTAAAATTTTTCTTTATGTGAAGTTAAAAACCTTAATGCATTAAACAGCTTTGGTCTCAGTTTTTCATTTCTGTTTTTACTTCACAAAACTAAGACTGCCTCAAGTAGGGCATGTATCAATTAAGATAATCTATCCTGTTCTATCCTCATAAACTGGTAAGAAAGCACAAATGTAAAGCAGAGGCAATTGAGAAGTAGGAAAATTTAGCATATACTAGCGTTAGGATTGGGGCTATATAGTGCCTTTGGCACCCACAGGTGTTTAACACAGTTGGTATGAACAAGCTTCTTCACAGATTAATAGTTCTAGCTGGGTTATAAATTTCAGCTGTACCATGAGAAAGGCAGAGCCTGCTCAGCTTAGAGAATCACAGCAGCTGCCCTGTCCCCAGTCTGCTGTACTAACATCCATGGGACATAAAGACAACCTCTATTACCTGGAAGAGGCACTTCCAAATTTACTTGAAACTGCACCAAATAGTACAAGTAAGAACATCATCTCTCTTTGTACTTACCAAACGAGGTTCCCTCTGCAGGGCTGTCAATCTATTTTCCTGGGAGGCATCATATTTGATCTTTCATAAAATAGTCTTGACTGTCCAGGGAATTTCTCTTCTAGTTAAGAGTCCGTAGGTGCCTGCGTAGCTTCCAGCTGTGTTTCTGCTTTAATTTAGGCACAATGCTCACTATTCCAAGAGAGCCTCTCTGCCAAATTCAGTTGATCTCCATGCAGCACACAAGTCCTAGGAAAGTCTTCCTGAAGGCTTTTGTATTTGGTGCTCTTAATAAATCTGCATCAGGTTTCTTGACTTTATCACACATCCTTGAGTTACTCTTTCCTGGAGATTTGTTCTACTATCTAGTGCTGGGTGGCGTCAGTGGTCTCTTAGCTACTGAGAACGTGATCTAAACATGATCACTTCTCTCTTCAGAGAGAGGGCCCAGAATCTTTGTTGGAAATACAGGGGATGGAGGCCATGGTCAGTTTTAGAAACCTAATTTTACAAAATCTGGATCTGCAGCAAACAGATGCTATTGGCATATCCCAACATGTATATAGGAGGAAGACAGCTGATCTGGAGGATACTAAAGCAGTGTGAATGTGGAAAAGCTAGTAAAGTAGTGTTATGAACCTGGAATTGGCATCTGTTCACACCAATCTTACAGTGATGTGGCTTATTCTGAAACAGAGGTATGTCACTTCAAGGCAAATAAATTGTAGTTTGATAACCCAAAGAATTTATGTAGATATAGCTTTGGTTTGTATTAATTTTAAGTATAAAATCTTTCCAGTTTAGACCAGGTCTAAGCTACCATGCAGAAGAAATCAGTTTAACAGGTAAGGCCCCAATTCTACAGACACTTAGGCACGTGTTTAACTTAGGTTCCTTGTTAATTTATATCATTCACGTGAATGAAAACATTCACTTCTTTGAAGTTAAGCATAGATGGATATATCTGCATAAGAAGGCAGACTACAAAAATGTAGGTAGAGTTGCAAAGCAGTACTTAAGGTGTTTCTAAGCATACAGTACTGAAATGTTATGTTATTAAACAGCAGGAATAAGGTCATACCCAACAGAATCTGAGGGGGGCACTGAGGGGTAGGATCCAGATGCTGGGGTGGTCTCTCCTAAGGAGGCCTCTTCCTGCGGTATGGGGTGATGTTCAAAGAACTTGGAGACAAACAGCAAACTGTGAGGCAAGAACAAAACAAAAACAGCCTAACTTGTGCAAAACCCAGAAGCTTCACAATATAACACTCTATGATTGAACGTACCCCACCCCCTCAAAAAAAACCCAACCCAAACCCCCTCACTGATCAAATTATAAATTTTAAAATAAAGACTACGCTAATACACTAATCTGCAAGATATGTTAAAAATGGTATTTATTTGACAAAGCATCAAAAGATCATGCCTTAAAAATACCTTAAATTTTTAAGGTAATTTCTTAATCTTTTCTTTCATATTAAATACATCTAGTTCCTGAAGAATGCATAAATTATAATTATATGTTGAGTACATGAACTTATTTTAATGTTTGCACTGATGCAATGACAAAACCCAAATGCCAAGTGGATAGAACTATGTTATCCATAAGCCCTGAGCACAAACTCCAGAGTTGCCCAAGGAAACAGTTACAAATACCAACATAAGCAGAAATTAAATTTATCCTTGGGGGAAAACCTAGCATTTTAAATGATTCCTTATATGAAAGTCTATTTAAAAGACTTAATAGCATCCGCTGAAGCTGATCAAATAGAACGTAGAACCAGTTTACACCAGATCCTTAACCTACATCAAAGACTTACACAAATAGATCAATAATTAAATTCAAGAACACATGACTGCTTAGGACATTCTCTTTTATGTTTCTTACCTAGGCATCAAACTCACTAATGGATTTGTTTTCAATCACTGTAAACCCAACTGCAATTTCACTGTATTAAACTAGTGTCTCTTAATTTTTTTCAGGTTGAAGAGAACAAACCCACATCAAAACATTTAAACAGGGCCCTAGCCATCACATAATAAAGAAGTAGTTTTGATTAAGACTAACAACTGTGAACAATGAGAAGACTGTCTGATACAGTCAAGTGCTCAGCCACCCCATTCATGCTTCAAAGAAAGTATTTCATAGTCCCAGAGAATATGAATTACACATTCTCATAAGAACAGTTGAGCTCCTATATTTTGTTCGGGCAGCACCTCTGACTTCCTGCATTACAGATTTAACATAAGAAACCACTGACAGCTGTAAGCTTAATAAAAGGCTCAACTTTAAAAAGAATTGTGATGACTTACTCAAGTTGGTCATAATTAACACACATCAGTGGCACTTCTGTACTACAGCGCTGGTGAAATTTGTAGCCACATGTCTGGCACCGGAATCCCTGGAAAAGCAGCTTTCGACAAAAGTCGCAGAAAGCTAACGTGAAGAATGTTTTTCGTACCTATATTGTCAAAAATAATCATAATTAAATACAGCCCTTCTGCAAGCCTAAGATAGGCTATTTGCTTTTACCTCCCTCATATACACTTATAAGCCTCTTTTTTGATGCTGGAGCTACAGTTTTATATCAAACAGACTGACATAAAAGATTGCCTCCTTTTTGAAATAGTCTTCATACATTAAAATTTCCTTTCAACTATTTATTGAAATCAATGCTTCACTTCATTAGCAAGAAAAACAGCAACAAATCTGAAGCAAAACAGTGCACTGTTATAATGCTAGAGACAAACATTCAGAATTTAATTGGATCCAATCTATAAAAACAAAAGCTGCTGAAAGATTATCTCATCTTCTAATTTTTCCAGGGGCCAAATGAAATTTCTATCCAACGCTCATAGGACTGGAAATACAGATATGGTTTATATATATGTAACCATACAATAGAAGCCATATATAGTTGTAATTTTGACTACTGAAACTCAGAAACATCTAAAATCACAAAAGGGTGAACATATATTATCCCCATATCCTAAGGGGGGAAAATTATTTAGTTTCATTTTCAAATTTAGCAATATTTGGCATAAAACCACATTCTAGTTGTATTACTACATGTAGTAGTCAAAACTTCAGGCAGCTATCAAAAAGTGTTAAGTCTACTAGACTTTCATCTAACTAGCCATAGCCAAACTAGCTTAAGTAAAATAGTTCATGCAGCTTGCAAATACAATTTGGTGGTTTTATTTAAATAAAATGCCTTTCTTCTCAATGTGAAGAACATTATTTCCAGGATTTTGTATGTAGATGTAGCTGTTTAGATGGATTCTGTTTAGCAGCTTCCATTTACTTGGTGCCTTATCAGGTCAAAACATATTTGTGCACTAGCATCATTGATGATGTCAGCAGTGCTCTGGGAATAGTTAGTTCATTAGTTAATTGCTGCTGCAGAGCCAGCAGGGAGGCCCAGAATACATTTTATAGATACAGCAATACAAAAATAGTAGATTATTATTACAGCTCTGCAATGCAGTGCTGATTTAAACCCCCTCCATTTATAGATTTTAGAGGGTGTATTCCATCCAAATGTGAAAGTTTTAAGGATGATCAAGTACTCTAACATCACTTACTTCAATTACAATTCTAACTAATTCACTTAAGCTATTGTGATGAAAAACTTCTTTTGCAACCCCCACCACATCCCACAGACACAAAATATTATTCAAAGTTGTTAATTTGAATTCGAAAGTACAAAGTTGACTTAACCCTACTCAATATTGCATAAAACCCAGTACGTACAAAATTGTGTGTCGTGAGTGGTACATTCTCCAAGACTTCCACATGCAACTCCTCTCCCGTGAGCCAGGAGATGTCAGTGTCCCAGCCAATTGGCTTCTTCTCTCTGAAGTGTAAATAAGCCTTTCATTAGCACCAGCTGCACAAACCCTTGCAGGTCTCCTGCTGAAGATGTGAGATCAGGTAGAAAGCTGCACTGTGGGGGTTTCCTACCCAGTCTCCAACGGCAGGAAACTTTAAAGGCAAGACATTAAGCTCAGCACATAACAAGGAGAGCACACCTTCCCTGGACAAACTGCATGACAGAAATGTACTTTTTCAATCAGCTCCAGTAGTGGCCGATTCCTTGGTTCCAAGGTGACAGATACTCTTCTGATCAAATAAAGTGCTTGTGAAAATACCTGATCCATAGGAGATGCAAAGAGATGGCTAATTTCATGCAGTAAGAAAACCTCCAAACTTTCTAGGGCTGGACCCCCCCCCACCCCAGGAACTCTGTATTCAGTTAGGAAAGCACTATAACCAAGTAAAATGAAACCAAAAGCGTTAACGAAACATATTTAGTACTTTTTTGGTTAGCACGAGTTTGATTAACTAGTGTTTTGCCAGCAGTCTATAAGCTCATATTACCCTATATTATGACCATTCTTGAAGCGATTAAATCTTTTTCTAGACTCTTTTTAGATGTTTTCAAGACACAAATTGTTTTAGTGCAAATTATCAGATCGTTCTGAACTTGGAAAGAACTTCCACAATGTTGGATAGAATCGGCCACATTGGGTAACTCCAAGAAGAGATTCTAAAAGCAAAAAGCATCACACACAACCCATACCCATCTTGTATTCTGTAAACAGCACAGCATTCTGGAATAAGACCTCTCATCATCAGAGCTTTCTTTAGGCTGTCTCGGACTGTCACTCCACATCTCGCTGGAACCTAGAGGTCAAACATAAAAGAAATTCATTAAAACAAGTTCCAATTTAACCCTCCAAACCAATACAAACATTTTGACCCTCAACTGCTGAAACTCACTTTTCATGATGCTTTACAGAATGCTAGGTAAGCTTTTTGGATTTTTTTTGTACTGTGGAAAATTTTCTTGGTGAATAGTAGATAAGCAATCTAGCTCAGCTAGAAGAGAGAACAAGCTCTACGTTTCTATTAACATTTGGAATGAAGTCTTGACCCTACTCCAGAAGCGACTTTCCAACTCTTCTCAACTTGAAGAAAGTGGAGAGACAGCACACAGATAGCTAATAACTACATACATCTATAAAAAGTTAGGCCAAGCTGTAAAATTAAGTGGGGCAATGTGCCAAGTGGAACTAAAATGAAAGAACTAACTTGGAGTGCACTCAAAAAAACATTATGATAAAATGTAAACATTTTATTTTCCACTTCTAAAATAGAAGATAAGCATGCAAACAAGTAAATTGATCATCTGAGTCAGACATACCATCACCTCTCACTATATTAGCAACTCTACAGACAGTTCCTATTTGAAAAACATATTTCTCTCTTCTGTTCACTATTTGAAAAGTTTAAATATCTAACAGGATGGGAAGAATGGAGAAGGACACTAAAACTAGCCAAACCAAGAACTGCAAACTATGCAAAGATTTTCCTTGCCTCTATTCTAGCTGTAGGCATATTTTATAGGAGTAAGTGTATAATCTCCAGGTATACCTGTGATTTAACAGTGCATAGTGACAAGCAATAAAAACACAACAATACATAATCTGGTGATTAAGTGTAGTTAAGGTGTTGAGTATTACCCACTTAATATTTCTAGAACTAAATAGTGAAAAGATGTAACACTTCAGGTGGCACAGACACTGGGACATCTCCTATAATCACAGACAGCACCTCAAACATGAATCAAAAGGAAAGTCCACAAGCTATCCAAAGAAGTCCATCTGAACACCTGAGACCCAATCCTAGCTTGCTGGTGGCCTAAGCCAGAGCCCTCAGTAGCCAAAAGCAGTCTCTTAATCAGCTTCAACTGGCTTTGGATCAGAGCCTAGTTTTCGCTCCTTGCACTTAAATTTCCATGGGTATTTAGGGGCCCTATGTCCTACTTAAGGATGACAGTGAAAAGTAGCAGTCTATTTCAAGGAGCTTTGTGAACACCACTTGAGGTTACGCTATATATTGCTTTTCTAGAGCTCGCACATATGCTGTCTCAGAAGAGACAAAATAAAGGAATATTTTGCTTCACAACCTTCCTCCCATTACCATGAAAGTGCTTCTTACAGGATATTTGTGCATTCCATCTGATCATCATGTAAACATTTAAAAAAAAAAAAGAGAATTTCTACTAATTCCTTGGAAAAAAACATCCTATAGCATACTGCTTTACAATCTTGATGTTCAGCCTTAAGTGAATTTGTTTTACACATCCCATTACTTCTTAATGCATCTTTTTATTAATCTATGTAACTTCTTCCCATCCTAGAAGTTAACACTGTGGCTTTCAATCACTTGTAGGTCAATGCTCCAGCATAAAACATCCTTGATGGTTCCTAATACCTGTCAGTGGTATTAAGAGCGAGCCTGGGAACACATGTAATCATCAAAATCATCAACAACATTGTAAAATTCAGCCCTCTGTTGCTTAAGTCTCTATGGAACTAATTGTTCACACTGAAACCAACTGTTCACAGGGTCACTCTGTGACCAGTACCCCCTGTTCCCAACCCCAGCAATGTGGTTAGCATAACTAGTGCCACTTTATGAGGCAAGCAGCCAGTCACAGTGACCGAGCACGTCATGTATTTGTTCCCTCTCCCCTCATTATCAGGCCCTGAAGGTCCTGTGAACCAAGTAGACAAACCAAACAGATCTCTTCTTCCCTTCCCTACCAACTTCAAGGTTCCTGAGCGCCAGGCTGTTTACTCCCTTCCTTGTCGACGTTGATGGTCCAAAGGACCCAAGGCCACGAGGTGGTGGTGACGGCACTGTCACAGAACTGGGAAGCATGACAGCACCCAGAGCACTGTCTAGAAAATCAAGCAGTTGTAAGTCCTAAGGGAGGAACTTGGACCAGAGCTGCTGCTGGACAGTGAGACCCAGGGCCTCCTGTGGCCAGGGATGCCTCCACTGTCCACCATTTCCTCCAAGGACTGAGGGATTGACTCGTATTCTTTTACATAGAGTACAACTGCTACATTGATACGGCAAACCGTGTGTTAAGATTTGACCCAATTTGCAGAGGGTCCAGGTGATGAAATTAAAAGTTAAGTTGCATTATAGATTCTCTATTATGCTACTAACAAATTGTACTATACTGATTCTGCTTGTAGAAATTCTGTGCCATTCCAACAATAAATTCTGTGCTATACTGATCATAACATCATGTTAAGAAAACAAAGCTTTGATTGTAACTACAGTTTAGGGCCATCGTCATTCTGCCAAGGATCCCTAAAAGAATCTGTCCCCTCAGTGTCAGTGATCAAGTTCTCCCTGCCTCCAACATATTTATTTACAAATAGAGTGAAGAATTTGAGTAAAATCTCTTGAGGATTTCAGGGGTGTGCTCCGACATCCCATACAGATCAAGTCCCACCATGAGCCATTTCAATGGAGTGAGTGTTCTTTGGCTCAAGGCTATTTGTCCTGTAAGTGCAGCTCCTGCTGGATTGAGGCAGAGCCCCCACAGACACTTCAAGTCTACCTTTCCAGCAACCTCAGTTACTTCACCACCGACAGCCACAGTGGCAGAAGACATTCAAATACTGAGCAGGCAGTAGACAGACCTAGGGCAGGGGGGAACAGGAATGAAGAGAGCCAGGAAAGTGGTTGGGCCTGAAGGGGAAATGGGAGGAGAGAGGTAGGACAAACTTAAGAACTGACCAGGAAAAGCACATGTATATGGAGAGAGGGCATTGCCACGAGCGGGTTGGTGGGAAACAGCCAAGCAGGACAGTGGGAAGACAGAACTGAAGAGCTAAATGAGGCAGAGGGCAGGAAACACAGATACGATGAACTACCACTGGTTGAAACAGCCGGGGAGGCAATGGAAGCACATCCTGAAGAGGAAGCTTTCATGCTGCTATTAGGAGAAAAGACGGCTCATTTTGGACAAGGAGCAGCAGAGGAAAGGGAGTGCTACAAGATGTGCTAGAACTGAGCACAGAGTGGGGAGAGGGTCTAGCTTACGCAGAAAACGTCAAGGCAGTAAGTAGGAAGAGAAACCAGGGTAGTAAAATCTATACCTGGGTGAGGGAACAGAACAGGACAAGGAGGAAAAGCCAAGCAGTGGAAAGGTGACTAAGATTAAAAAAAGAGATGAAGAGAAAAAGGGAAGGAGCCTTGTGCTCACTGGAAGACATTTTCTTCCTCCAGCACTGATCCTCCATAAAGGGTGATAACACCATCCAGTACCTCATGAAGCAAAGATAATTATCAGGAACCTAAAAGTTTCAATTCCATTAATGAATTACACTGGTGTAAATAATGACACTTCAGGTGAGTTTTAATTTTTTTCTTTTTAATTTTGCTGAAAACAAGATTTATGAAATTACAGTCTTCCTACTAAGAAATCAATAAAGTCGGAAAGGCAGGCTCCAAAACTTGGGAAGTATCAAGGTAAAGGTTGCCTACAGCAATGCAAATGCTATAGAACGATGAAAAATGTGCATTAAGCATCTCGCTCACTTATCATTTGCTGTTCCTCAGTATTACTTCCCCAAGTCCCCTTCATTAAAATCTGAGCCATATTTATGCAACTTGCAATTAGAAACATGGATAGAACATTTGTTCTCTTCACTGCCATTTGCAAAAAGATCCAACTAAAAAACAGTTGGGGAACTGTTTTGATTACTTTCAAAAAATCACCAGGATCCTGTATCAGCATCACATTTAGAACATTCTCTTACAGAGCTCCTGAGCAGAGAAACAGAAGGCTAAATTAAAAGAACTAAATACTAGAATAAATCCCTGTAGTATTGATTAATCATTTTCCCTGACTGGTACAGTACGGTCTACCACCATCTGTGCATGTAGCCCCCTCCTTCAGTCCCTACCAGCGCCTGCTGTAAAGCAGAAATCTCACCCTGCAAAGCATTCCCACTAAAACCTCTCTTCTCCCCCCATCCTCTTCTCACATCCAAATCACGGCAAAGTTAAAGAAAAATCCCGCTCCAGTTGGAGATGGAGAGCAACTCAATCTTAAGAAAAAAACAAACCAACAAACAAATTCTCTTTTTCTGGCTAACAGAGAGTCTCCCCAAAGCTGGAGCTTCAGAACAGCTTCCCACTCACCCCCAGCTGGAGGGAGGGAGGAAGGCAGGCAAAGTGGCTTTATCAATTCCATCAAGAGTTTCGACAGGATTCCCACTAAGCATTTTAACTGAATCACATCAGCCCTTTTTGATAAAAACTGGTTCCCCATGAGAAAATCCCCTATCTACTCCAAAATACGAACCCTTGTGACTGTAATCCAGAAAACTGAACAAAGTCTGCATTTTATTGAAACAAAGAATGCTTAATATTATCTCAAACCCATTTTGTCCACATCCATCCATTATCTTTTTTGTAACTAGGAGAATCTTAATATGTTTCACAAGTTACCACCTAGAAATTCACATTACTGAATTAGGGAATCCCTTTCCAAGTTCTACTTGCTAAGGGTTTTAAGTTACTTACATACCTCAGGTTTGTAGATCAGAAAAGGTTTAGGTTTTTATAACAATTTGCAAGTTGATGCAGCAAACAATTTTCAAAAGCAAAGAGCATGGAAGAATATGGGCTCTACAGTCCTAAGGAGTAGTGCAGAAGCTGCCCATACAAACCAGAAGCCGTGTTCAGCGCGTAGCTTAATAATATACCAGAGAAAGTAATTTATTTGTGCATCTTGAATCGGGCAAGTAGTGATTCAGGAAGACACCAAAACACATGCTCAACTTTGCAAAGTTGAAGTCCCAAGGAAACAAATT